GTATGGATGTTGAACTGTACCAAATGATGTTCTGATACTGATAGATGTGGTCATTAGTTTCATCCACGACTATATTGATTTACTCAGTTATATTAATTGATACTTCAAAAGATAATTTGCATTCCTGGATAAATCAAACTGAGTAATTATTTATTATCCCTAGTGTATTCTATTTGTGATTTTTTTTTTGAGATGTTGCCATGTGACCCAGAGTGGCCTGGTACTAATTATGAAGTCAAAGTTAACTTTAAACTTCTGTTTTTGCTGCCTCTGTTTCCTGGTGTGTGTCCAAGTCCACGTTATGCAGTGCTATCAAACCCAGGGCCTCTAGGCAAACTAGGCAAGCACCTGACTGACTAACCAAGCCTCTTCCCAGGCCTGTTTGTGAATTTCCCTTTTTCATCGGATTTTTGCATCTTTGCTCATAGTAGATATTTTGTGTTTGTCATGATGTCTTTATTGATTTTTTTTTTCCTTTCAAAGTCTATATTTCATTCTCAAAACATTATCGGGACTTTCCTAGACTTGGTTCCCAGAAGGAGTGTGCAAGACTATGGTGGTTTTTCTTAAGTGCTGGACTGAATTCCAAGTCCACCGGGCCATGAACTGCTACTGTTTACGAGCAGGTTATTTTTGTGGTCTCTGATGTGAAAAGAATAAAAACCTTCCATTGTCCTAGGATTTCTGAGAGGGAAGATAGACAGAGGGAGGAAGAGACAGGGAGGAGGTGCCACATACCACATCCCAATGCCAGCTTCCCGTGAGGCGCCTGCCCCAGTTCCTTCCTTCCTGGCAAACTTTCCCTGACCCAGCAGGCTGGCAATGGCTGGCCTTGTGGTTTCCACTGCCCAGGCTTCCAGGTTACTCCCTTCCCAAGACGACCCAGTCCCGAGATTTCAGAGAAGGAAGACTTTGGCTTGGTCAGAGGACACTGTTCGGGGCGGGGGGAGTGTGTGTGGAGAGACGAGCTGGGGCTGGAGTGGGGGCATGGGGAGGAATGCTTGAGGCAGACAGAAGCTCTTTGTTTGCTCAGTTTCTATGAAAATTGGGTAACCTTTGTAAACAGCAAATATTGGTTCAGAGGTCCACTGCCTTCCTGCCCACCCCCATCTGGGCAACACCCCAAACTCCCCTGCACGTACACACAGCTTCAGTTGTTTCTCCCAGAAAGCCCGCTCTGCGGTAGAGATGTAAGGGTTGACTCTGTGGTACACAATTTGGGTCACAAGCAGGTTGGGCTGAAACTAGCAGTTCCCTTTAACTCATCTCTCAAGTTCTCTCCCTCTCCTCTCTTTTTTTTTTTTCTTGTCCTTTTTAAATAGAGAGATCAAATATTAAGGAAAGCAGTTGTGGCCTAGAGAAGGCTAGCTAGAATTAGGAGCTCTGGGATCCGCTCCCAAGGTCTATGAACAAGGAGCCTCTTTTTAACAGACTGTGACTGGTAGCATCATGGATGCTGACTTCATCTGTAGGGTTGTTGATCAACACTACAGACCCACTTGCCCCAGAACAGGGCCTGGCACATGCAAGGGGCTAACACGTTGCTTTCCATTCGACTAGGCCTAATCCGGACAGCCCCATCTGAGAGCCTGTAGTCTAGCACGCATTCCTCTCCAAGGCTGACCTGACAGAGTTGGCGGGAGAGGTGGAGTGAAGTGGGGGAAATGCCTGTGGGAAAAAGGCAGGGCTGGAGTCCAGCCATGTCTGTTACCTCCTCATTGTGACCACAGGTGAGCCTTCTTGCCCTCCATATGTCCTGCTTTGCTAGAAGGAGCTGTGTCCATGGTTGATGAGTTAAAATACAAACAGTCTGTCTGATTTTGTATCTCGGCATTACCACTGACCTTGGGCAAGGCCCTCTGGTGTCCTTGTCCCATCTAGATGGAGATTCTCAAGCACCAATACCAGGGGCTGTAGTAAGAGGTCACTGAACCCCACCTCCAAAAGTCTCAGCCATTGTTAAGGTATTCAAGGGAACAATGCTTGTCCGGAGGGTCTCCGGTATAGAATTAAATACATCAATGAGGACACAGATACAGGTGGCTGGAGCCACCAAGAACACAGAGCACTATGATGCCAACTTCTCATCCTCCCACACTGTGCAGGCATACATAGACCTGGGTACCCAATATAACCATGGCTGTTCACATGAACACCCCCAAAACAGCCTTTGTCCCACCTACCCTCTAAAGAATGACAGACACAGGGCTTCTCCTGAGCAAGAACCAATGGCCTGGACTTCTCTGCCAGGTATGTGTTGATGACACGGTAGCTGTAGGTACTAATGTCACACAGGAACCTTCTCCATGTCCTGTGTACCTTTCTGGGCTTGGGTTCAGAAGACCTCTCTGAAGCAGAGCCTCGTGTTGGCTGGTCTGGCTAGGACCCAGGGAGACCAGAGACTTGGCTAAGGCAAGGCTGCAAGCCTGTGGCTGGAGGAATAGCTTAAGGTGGGCTCATTGTGTATGCACAGGAAAGGATGAGAGAGGGTTAGTCATTTTCTGTGTCTTCCATGCCCTGCTCTGAGGAGCCCTGAGTTTGTGTCATATGTTCAACACCTCACGGTTCCCCTTCCTGCTTCCTGGCATCAGCTGCAAGTGTACCTGATGCTCTGCTGGGTATCTCCTGTCTCCCCACCCCCACCTTCATGTCCCTACCTCCAGGTGTTAAAGGAATTCAGACTACATCCTAATGCCTGCTGTGAGTGGTAGTGGGACTATGGCCTTCCTGCAAAGGGAGCCATGAGAGGGTCAGGGGATGGAGCCCAGAGCAGCAGGGGCTTCCCTTCCTCCTTAGTGATGCACTAATGGTTGCATCAGTGATGCATCATTTGCCTCATGTCCCTGCTAAAAACCTTGTTAAATCAATGGTCTCTAAAGCAGCTGGTGTGTAACTCCTTCCCACAGGAGACCATCCAGTGGTTTACGGATGGCTGTTGCTATTGCAGAAGATGAACAAAACAGCAGAGGGGCTCAGTGTGGGGGTTGGCCCTGTCTCCTCACCTGGGTCCATAGGATGGACAGTAACCTGTGTCTGGAGCCTCTGAGGTGTCCCGAGGGAAGATGGGGATCCTCTCGACAAAGACTGGGCAAGGGAGAGGAGTGCTGAACACCTGTGGCCCCCATGCCTGTCTTTCGCCTTTGACATCTTTGTTTCCATGTTTAGGACTTTTGTGTATCCGGTTCCATGAGTGTTAGGTTAGAACATTTGACCTTTGGGCTCATAAGACAAAGCTCAGGAGGCAACACAGATTTCAACCTGGCCACTTGAATTTAATCTCCAGAACTTCTATGGTGGACGGACAGAATGGACTCCTGAAAGTCGTCCTCTGACCTATGCACTGTGACATATGGCAGAGGTGTACCTGTGCTTGGACACACACATATATGTGCACAATAAATAAAGGAAGAAAATCTGACTTTCTCTCTAACCCTCATAAGACATACAGGTGCCTTTAAACCATTCCCGTCAGAGACTGGAAGCACACCGGGGAAAGCCGCCTGCCTGTGTTCCTAAGAACCACTGCACACAACCAAAGCAGCCAGATTAGCTTGTTGTCTGAGCCCGGCATGAGTTCTCCATCAGCTAAAATATGAAGCAGACTCATACCGCTTGCCTGCTCCTGGTGGAGAGGTCAGGCTACTGGCTCTTGCACAGGAGAAGGATAACAACAGAATCCCACGTCCGACATTCTTCTGAGGGGTCGGCAGGACAAGGCTAGGCGTGGGGAGGGGACATGTTGCATAGCCCAGGCCTGTGTATGTCTACAGGGGTGTGCGGAGGTGACAGGTTGGCATCTCAGTGTCTGTACCTGTGTCCTCAGTTACGTGTTTAGTCCTGCATTAGAGATCCTCTGGACATTCATGGTTCCTGTGAACATCTTGACAATGGCAGAGACTTGCTGAGAGCGTCAGTGGGCTCTTCCCACAGCCTGACATTGGTGCTTTAATATGTCCACCTTACAGACTTGACAAGGAAACAGAGCGGACACATCTTGATTAAATTGATTTTGAAAACCCTAAATTCTCTTAATGATTCTGAAATCTGGACAGACATTATGCCTATAGCTCCTTGACCTTTTCCTCAGTGTATCTTGTATGCTGAAATAGTGCACGAGGTAATATATAATCAGAGGGACATTTTCAAATGTCCATTTTATTTTTACTTCATCGTTTCACAATTTTCTAACTCATGTTCAGGGTTGAAATAACACAATTATAGTTATCGTGAAAATAGTACATATGGAGGGTGCAAGTGCAATATTTTTGTGATAAAACCATGCAATCAAAGCAGTTTGATGATTACTTAATTAGAGGGGACTCGGTATGGGCAGGAAGCGTCCTCCCGGGGTGTTCTTTGCACTCACAGGGCCCTTTGTTCTGAGTCTCAGTATGACCACTTCCTAACAGTGGGAAAGAGTTTCATGCCCCTGTTCCTAGCCTAGGCTGTCCCACTAGAAGCTCAGGGACAGGACCCTTTCAGCCCCAGAGCAGGCTCTGCCTGGCAGGGATGGAGACAGAGAGGCTCTTGGTACGTTCCCAGGACCACCTGTGAGAGCAGGGGCTGCTGCCTCTCTAACCAGAGCCCAGCTTTCCTCTCTTTAGGTTCCTTCTAGGGTCCTAGACTGGGGTCCAGGGCAATTCCCTCCCCTCTCTAGCCTCAGTCTCTCTTTGTGAGGCCGATGAAGCTGCTGGCAAGCAGCTCTGGTACCCGGGGTACTGGAGCACGTCATTCCCGCCCAAGCGGCTATAGCCATGCGGTTCCTGGCACCGAGAGAGCAGTGATAACAAAGAGTGGGTTTTGCTTTAGGCTTCCTTCCAAACAGCTTTTTTTTTTTTTTTTTTTTGGTGGTGGATTCCATGCACAGTTCTGTCTCACAGCCTCACAGCTCAGGAAATGAGGTGATCATCAGGGCAAGAAAGGAAGGGGGGGGGGTGCGGGCTATTGGGCAATTGGGCTGCGCAAACACAGGAGGTCAAAGATTGCACCCAGCCAGCCGGCTCCGGACATAAAGGGGAGCAGGTCACAGAGAAGCGGTGCAGAAGCGGGTTGGTCTGTGTTCCCCGCTCCTCGCCACACACACCGGGAGGATGAGGTCCGCCGTGGGCGCCCTGCTGGCCTGTGCTGCCTTGGGTGAGTGTGGGCTGGGAAGGACTGTAGATTACTGCCTATGCGTTCCCTGCAAGCGAAAGGCTGGAAGCCTGCCTTTTGCTTCTCCCCGCCACATCTCCATCCTTCGATAATGCAGAAATAACCTTGACTCAGTCGCCTGGAGCCCGGATTCAGTCTCTTCCTTTTCTTATGCTCCTTGTGCTGTCTCCCCTATGTCCAGTAATTGGCAGATATGGTCTATGATAAGGTAGAAAACTTTTAACCAGTTTTCCTAGGTATTACCCTGAGCCGCCTAGTGTAGTCCAAACAGCTTGGTGGATAGTCAGGACTTCTGGGATCAAACCGTGTTATCCGTTCACTGTCTAATGTCCCTTGGCTGCCTTTGGCGCTGGTGGCTCAGACTATGGTGTAGGATTTGAAGCCAGAATTCTTGAGTTCAAATCTTGCCTGTACTTCTCCTGTGCCAGGTGTAGTTACAGCACCTGCCTCGGAGGGTCAGGTGAGGGTGAAGTCACAGGATCCTGCTGATTCCTCTCCAGATGGGGTCTCAAGGACCCATGTGCCTGCCCTCGTTGGACTGTTGGAACCTTCTAGTCTGAGCTATTTGCCTTCCTTGAAAACTGTCAACATGGGAGAGGCTCCCATGCTTGTCAACTCAGGGCACGTCATATGACTGTGCACAGTGGCACATGACGAGGGACAAAATTTGCAATTTAGATTAAGTAGTTTGAAGCACTAGGGAGGTGGTTTAGGGAAAGTCTGCTATTTGGTTTCCCCCTGGTCAGCATGGAATAAAGGGAAGGAGTTGGGGCACCCAGTCTCCCTGTTGTCCTTCCTTATCCATCCTCACCTCGCCCACCTGACCCCATCCTTTGTGCATTTTGGACCTGGTTGAGTCAGTAAATCAGCCCTGCTAAGTTGTTCCATAGGAAACAGATGTGATGAAAGCCAGGCCTGACTGCCAGATCTCATGGATGGTATCTCTCCATCACACAGATTTTAACAGTGACACAGTTGGGAAGGTGGTTCAGTTGGGGAGACGCTTGCCACATAAGCATGAGGACCTCAACTCAGAACCTTAGCACTCATGGGAAAAGCTGGGAACAGCAACACTCTGGGGAAACAGGGATGGGAAGATCCCAGGGACTTAGGGCCAGCCAATCTAGTGGAATTAGCAAGGCTCAGATTCGGTGAGAGATCCTGTCTCAAAAAATCAGGCAGCAAGTAATAGCAGAAGACACCCTATGTTGCCCTTTGGCCTCCATGTGTGCCTAGCTGCACATGCATACACACACATACACACCACATACACCACACACACTCGCACACACACACAGACACACACCCACTTATAGACGCACATGCACATAAATCGTGATGCACAGGATTGTCTTCAGCTATTTCTCTAAACGGGGACCAAAGTGGGGTAAAGCATTGAGGGAAGGTTTGGTAGAAGCAGAAGCCATTGACTAGAAGGGAGTTCCTAGCTATTTCTAGACAGAAGGTAGCTGGAAAGTATCACAGGGGAATTCACAATCTAACTGTGGCCCAGAGAGAGGCAAAGCACGGATGATGGTTATCTTCCTCTGTGGTCTGGCCTGCAGACCCGGGCCGCTAACAAACACGGTGAGCTTGGACAATCACTTCCGGAGTGCAGCTCTCTGGTTTCTGAAAGCTGGCATTCCTTTCCCCGGATCCTCTGGGTTGGAGCACAGAGCCTTGGGTCAAGGTCACTGAGAACAGTGCTCGCATTCTGGGGCCATGATGGTGAGGCCAGGGGTTGGGAGAATTGTGGGCTGTCATCCTCAGCTCTCCCAGAATCCCTCCAAGCAGCCCAGGGGTAGGTGGGAAGATGAGAGGCCAGTGGGATGAGCCACATTTTCTGTCCCCAGCATCAGAAAGCAGCAGAGCCCTGTGCTCTGTCACGACCGCCAACGGGAGTGGGATGAGGGTGTGACAGAGGGGAGGTGGCCAACAAGACGCTTCAGAAAGTGGTGCTTCCTCTCCCCTGGCACAGGAAGTGGGTCCCTTATGCCTCTGCCTTCTTTCCTGCAGGACTATGTCTGGCTGTCCCTGACAAAACTGTAAGATGGTGCGCAATATCAGAGCACGAAAACACCAAGTGCATCAGTTTCCGTGACCACATGAAAAGCGTCCTTCCGGCCGACGGTCCCCAGCTTGCTTGTGTGAAGAAAACCTCCTACACTGACTGCATCAAGGCCATTGCCGTAAGTCCCGCTGCCTCACACGGTAGAAGGCTGCAGGGGCTGTTTCCTTTCGTCATTGTAGAATATGGAGGGCAGGTAGGAGGCTGATGTGGGAGGTAGGCAACCCCTGCTGCCCGTCAAATCACGCCAAAAATGGACATAGAAGAAGTCGTGGTTACTGCATATAGGGGGGGCAATGCGCTCTGAAAGGTAACTGCTTCGAGGCACTTAAGTTCTATGAACTTGGGGTGGGGTTAGGGGAACGGGCATCAAAAGTTACTGTCTAACTCTGCTGGGAAGTTCTCTTTCTCTCTCTTCCTCCCTCCCTCTTTCTCTTCTCTCCCTCTGTCTCTGTCTGTCTCTGTCCATCTCTTTCTCTCTAGTGTGTGTGTGTGTGTGTGTGTGTGTGTGTGTGTGTGTGTGTTTCCAGGGATTGAGCCCAGGGTTTGGGGAATGCTAGGCACACACTCGTAACACTGCATCACATCCCCCCACTATATAGGTTCTGGACGCGTCTTTGGAAGCATGAGTGGGTGTAGGGGGCCAGAATGAAGAGTGACGACTGCAGCTGACCGCGGATCCCTTTGCTTTCCCCTCTTCACTCCTTCAGCTCTTGTACATCCGGGCTTGTCAGTCCCTCTTCTGGTCAGGGAGCTGCAATATTGGTTACCTATCCCCTCGAGGTGTCCACAGCCTAGTAAGGAGAGAAGAGAGGATTGCAAGTGAGTGAACTATTAATGAGGGCAAAAGGAAAGAAGGGTGTTCCAACAGGGACGCACGGAGAAAACGTGTTGGTCCCTGTCGTCAGCGTCAGTCTCGTTGAGAAGGAAGCAATGAGGCTAAAGTTCAGCAGATGACCCAGGGTAGGGCTTCCTACTAAGAGCTGTGGTGCACACCAGGAATGAACAGCACGCTCAAAGGCAGCGCCAAGCTAGTGTGAGCTGTATGCAGGAAACCAGAGAAATCCAGCCTGCTCTTTGGGGGCACAAACGAGATTTGTAATTGTGAGTACTGCCAGCAGGGGGAGCACTGAGCTCCATTCCAGTGTGTGGTAGCTCGGACATTTTATTAAGGGAGGGGAGTGCAGGAACTCAATAGTTAGGGAAAGAAGTGGACGAAGGTTGCTCAAAGAGAACCTGGTGAACCTGGTGAGGTTAGCAGTGTTGGCTGACTGGCAGTTAGATATTTAGGATTCCATTTCACATAGGGGTGGGGAGACAGATGCCTTGTTCTTCCTGATAGATATCTATCGAAGGAGGTGTGTGTGTGTCTGTGTGTGTGTCTGTGTGTAACACTTCTGAGTTTCAACAAATACACAGTAACACCCAGAAGCCTTGTTTTTTGCTCATAGAAAGGGAGAGGAAAGTCTGTCATTTATTGTCCTCCCAAAGAGAGAGGACATTTTTCCTGAAGGCACTGTGCTTTCTCAGACAGGCACATGAGAGGGTTGGGGTAATCCTAGGATACAGCCTTATACTGGAGTACAGTCAGGCCTCTTGATGCCGGAGCTTGGATGGAGTTGTCATGTGGGGACATGCATACAGCGGAATAATTTCAGCCTTAAAAAAATGTGAAATTTGGACATAGTCAGGTTACAGTGTAGATGAACCTTGGAAACATAAGCTAGACACACTGGGACCAATACTGCAGGATTGCATCTGGTGATGGGAAGAGTGGAGTTGGATACAGGAAGCTGGATAACGGTTACTGGGGACTGGGGCAATGGTTGTGTGTATGTGTGTGTGTGTGTGTGTGTGTGTGTGTGTGTGTGTGTGAACTGTTTAATGAACAGGAAGCTGGGTGGTTGCTACTGGGGACTGGGGCAATGGATGTGGGGGTGTGTGAGTGTGTGTGTATGTGTAAATTGTTTAATGGTGGCTGTTACTGGGGTCTGGGGTAGAATCTCGTTGAGAAGATGAGAAGGTTCTGGAGATGGATGGTGGTGATGGTTTCACAACAATGCAAATTATTTAAGGGTCCATCTTTAAAAAGGTCACAATGGTAATGTGCGTGGCTATTTTATAACAATAAAGAAATCAAAGCCATTAAAATTTGACTTCTATCATTAGTTGATCTCGCTTAGACATACGTTCTTATTACTTACCTTTAACGTGACTGAGACCATGAAGCCATAGCTCTGCTTTTGCAATTGATCAGTAAGAACTCTGTTTTCAAGTGTCTAGACCAGTGGTTCTCAACACCCTTGGGATTGTTGAACAATCCTTTCACAAGGGTCGACTAAGATCATTGGAAAGCTCAGGTATTTACATTACAGTTCATAACAGTAGCAGAATTACAGGCATGAAGTAGCAACGAAATAATTTTGTTGCCACCACAGCATGAGGAACTGTATTAAAGGGCCGCGGGATTAGGAAGGTTGGGAACCACTGGCCTAGATCAAAAGCAGATGGGCTCATTTTAAGCCTTTAAGTAAAGGGCTTAAAGTCCCATTTGTGGGACTTCCCCAGTGCAGGGCAGTGCTCTACTTCGGAATGAACCTTGCTAAACATTAAAAAAAAAAAGACTTTAAGGAATGAGAAAATAAGCTGTTGACATAGTTGGAATAGTCAAGTGGCTTACTGATTTAAACACAAGAGTCCTGTGGGGAATGGGGCTGTATTCTTGTCATTCTGGTACTTTGTAGGCTGAGGCAGGAGGATCATAAGTTCAAAATCAGATATATAAACTGCCTTAAAACAAACAAAAATACCAAAATAGTTGAATATTCACAAAAGCATAAGGTAAAATAATCAAACAACGTTGAAGTAACAAAGATAAGAAAGAGACCAGACTATATGGCCCCAAATCCCAGCGGAATGTCTTAGCAGCCACATGACGTGCCAAAGCTGCTTACCCTTTATATGACTCTACTTCTGCTCACCTGTGAAAATTGAACTGGAGGGGGGAGGCTGTCAGATCTCCAAGTAGACAATTATACCAGAAAGGAGAGTGAGCAGGAGACCCTGAACCTTGAATCCTCCTGCCTGTGTCTACCAAACTCTGGGATAACAGGTGTGTGTGACCCCGGCATGTTAGCCCCTACTGTTTCGTGGGCCCAGGACTGTAGGGGAACACAATGAGTCCTGAGTCAGTGGCGAGCCCAGTGCCTTCAAGGATTTCATTTTCCTTGGAGGCAACTCCACAACAGCACCCACAGAGGAGCTGACGGGAACGCTCAGAACACAAGGGTCTCTGATGGAAAACCTTTCTGTGTGGCTGGGCACGGAAGGAGATATAAAGACCACCGAGAGGTTCCTGAGTGCTGGATAAGACCGTGTCAGAACCTATAGTACAGTGGCTAGGCCTGCCTCTGGAGAGGGAGGGACCCTTTCCCTGACAGGCCAAGCCTCTACAATTGCCGAAAGTAAATCTGCATTAGGGTATTTTTGGCTAGGTGCTGGACAGACACATCATTGGGAAAAAGAGAGAAACACTCCGTTCTTTTCTCTATGCAGAGCAAATGTGAACAGTAGTGAAGGGGTCTTTTGACAGAAATGGAATCAACGCATGCTAGCAGGGTTGGATGTGTTCTTGTTAGAGTTGCGTATTTTTTGGCCCTAGATGCATGGGCCGTCGCTGTCCCTCCCCATCTGTTATGGCTCAGGGAGGCCTTCTTTGGAAGCAAGAGCTCCATTGAGGATTATTCTCTCTTAGGGAAGTGAAGCAGACGCCATAACCTTGGACGCTGGTTGGGTGTATGAGGCAGGCCTGACTCCCAACAACCTGAAGCCTGTGGTAGCGGAGGTCTATGGGACACCTGAAAGTAAGTTCTCCCAAAGGACCCAGGAGCGGTGTTGCGGCTTTGTCCCCTAGGAGACATTAACTCTCATTTTGTAGGCAGGTATTAGATATTAGACACTGGCAAGTATTCTCTTCGGGGAGTCAGTGAGGAATGAGAAGATCTTCTACTCCTCCAGGCACAGATCAAAGCTCTGGGACTCTGGGCTGGTTGAAGGCCAGTATGGACCTTCTGAGTCAGGCATCCTCACTGGACAGAGAGCAGCCTGGGGTCCAGCTTGGTCTTCACTGGATCTGGTGATGTGTCCAAGCTGGAGTGTCGGGTGCCATGGACATGGGAGAACCCATCCAATGGCACACAGTGAGAGCCCAACAGTCCAAGGAGTCTTCTGAGATCACTCTGACTCTTCCTTGTCACCAGAGGACGTAAAATACTTTGAGAGAGGCAGCGAATGTGAGCCCCTGTTGTAACAGTTCCATGTTCCTGGTGGCTTTGGGTTGATGGACAAGAGCAGGGTAAACAGCATCCTTGACCCTTGAGCAGGTGCTTCTCGACCCTGTATTTTCCTGGGATGATGTTCCAAAGGTTCCCTCAGCCTTTAAGCCGACAGAGGTTTCTCTGACTTCTTACAAGCCAACTGCACCTAGGTTACCCCTGGGTCTCTCTTCCCTCCATCAGAGCCAAGCCCTGTCGAGCGGTGCTTCCCTGTGCTATGTCAAAGTACTCCATTCACACTGTCTCCTTTCAGAGCCACAAACCTCCTACTTGGCTGTGGCCGTGGTGAAGAAGGGTTCTGGCTTCCAGCTGGACGAGCTCCAAGGCAAGAAGTCCTGCCATACTGGCTTGGGCAGGTCTGCAGGATGGAACATCCCCGTCGGCTTACTTTTCTGTAAATTTCCGGAGCCTCGCAGTCCCATTGAGAAGGGTAAGCTGTCACCTCTGTTCCTGGATATCCTGCCAAGGTCACGCAGTCATGATTAGTCAGGCAGGTAGACTGAACTCCAAGGTGGTGACGAGAAATCGAAATATCTAGATTGGCCGGTCCGTGGTACCAGCTGCCCATGGGGATGGCAGCTGGGCCCTTTTTGTCGTTGTGAGCTTCCAATACCCCAGCAGAGGCTGTCCTGAGGAGGGAAGGAAAGGGCAGGTGGGTTCGCAGAGGATTTCCATATTCACAGCAGCTGGACCTTCTCCCCACCCCCAGTTCCCGTCTGGAGGTGTGATTCACTCGGAACGGGTGCTTTGGTGCCACCTGCTGGGCATCAGATTGTTCCGCACCTCTCTAAGCTGTTCTACCTCTCCGAGAGGCGCCCTCTGTCGGAAAGATCTGGGAAGAGAGTGGTTGAACAAAGGTCAAGGGCTAGCCTTGGCTAGCAGGAAACACGGACTGGTGTACCTCAGAGAGAACCTGCAGGACAGAGGTTTACCTGTTCCTGTTAGAAACCCTGCTCAGCGCGTGTAAGGCTGAGCCAGGAGTGTGCTTGCTGGCTTCATCGCTTCGTGCCTCTGACTTGCCTTAGGAGCCCAGGCTGTGAGGCACTGATGGCATTGTACTTATGCCTTGTCCATTTCTTTGTATCGAGCAGCCGTGGCCAGTTTCTTCTCGGGCAGCTGTGTCCCCTGTGCAGATGCGTCATCCTTCCCCAAACTGTGTCAACTGTGCCCAGGCTGTGGCTGCTCCTCTCTCCAACAGTACTATGGCTATGCAGGCGCCTTCAAGTGAGTTGAGATGGCCTCTCTGGTGACCAGTGTTGAAAGTCCTCAAATGGGGGTTCTTTGCTGACCTGAAGCAGACCCTCACCTGTCTAAAGTTATTTAGGGAGCTTAAACTTCTCTCAAGGAGGCAGGGGTACAACATGGAACCCTCAAGGCCAGGCTAGCAACATTCCCTTTCATCTGATGTGATAGCTCAAGCCCTGTTCTGGGAGTCTTCTCCTCTCCTCTCTCTCTCCTCAGAGCTCTTACATCTGGCTGGTGTCTCCTCTCATCGAGCTGGCCAGCATCTGAAGGGACTAGCACACCCCTTGTGCCTGGGGATGTGACAGACAGAGCCTCTGCCCCTATGACAGTAGTGAGCCATGATTAATATACTGGACAGTCCCCTGTCCCCAACCCGACAGTACATTTGGCCTTTTTAAATTATTTTTTTACATATAATATATTTTGATCATATTCTTTCCCTTCCCCCAACTCCTCCTAGATCACACACACACACACACACACACACACACACACACATACACACACACCCCATCACCACCACCACCATGACCACCACCAACAACAAAGGTCAAAACAAACCAAACAAAAAGCACACAGGTAAAAAGCAAAACAAAGCTTGGAGTCTGTTTCGCATTGGCCAACTATTCCTGAGGCATGGGGGCCTGCCCTGGAGAAAACTGATCTTCCAAGAAAGCAGCAGATGCAAGTAGCTTCTTGGTTAGGAGGGGGACTTTGTGGCTGATTTCCTGCTCTCTCTTTTTATCTCGCTTATACCCTGAAGTCCACATAGCCAGAGTAGAAATACTGTCATCTTCTGCACTAGGATTTGAAGCTTTTTTACATTAAAATGTTTTCGCCTTCTTTTTGCCCGTTTGGGGTAGAAATGGAAGGGCATTCGTCCCGTGTGAGCTCATCCCTCCTTTCAGCAGTATTCCAAAAGTCAGCAGACCACCAGAGTCTTTGTGCTTCTTTTCCACAGGTGTCTGAAAGATGGAGGTGGGGACGTGGCCTTTGTCAAGCACACGACCATATTTGGTAGGTGATGGGAAAAGCCTGGCAAGTTTCCTGCCCCTTTTTGCCGTCAGTAGGTGAGCAGGAGCTGGCACGATTTCTCTACCATTGCTTGAGTTTCTACATGGGTCTCCACCTAGATTCAGGGGCCCCTTTCTATCACTCAAACCACACAATGGATCTTCTTCTAGGTAAGATTTGCCATAGCCAAGGTTTGGAGATTGGTCTGGCTGACCTTGGCCTGTCAGTTGTCTTGCTGAACTCGGACTCATGGGATGGAGGCCGTCATTGCTTTACTAGTCCCCCCAAACCTCCATGCCTTCATCCCGTTTTGGGCTCATCTTCCTGCCTGTTCCTTGGCCCTCAGAGATCCCTCCAGGTCCTTCAACTCATGCTTTTATGATAAGAGGCCCACAAAGGTGGGAGGGGCTCACCTGAACTTTCCCTCCTTAGAGGTTCTGCCAGAGAAGTCCGACAGGGACCAATATGAGCTGCTCTGTCCTGACAACACCCGCAAGCCAGTGGATCAATTTGAGGAGTGCTACCTGGCCCGCGTCCCTTCCCACGCTGTTGTGGCTCGAGCTGTGGACGGCAAGGAGGACTTGATCTGGGAGATCCTCAAAGTGGCCCAGGTAACCCCCCCCTCCCCGCCACCATTCTCTCCCCTTCTTACAACTCTGTGGTTAGATCTTCTTGACTTCTAGACATACTAGAACAGTCTTTGTGTATGTTCAGGAAACAGTGGGGACCCTGCCATGTGTCACAACCTCTTCCACATCCCCGACTGGGATGCCTTGTAGGGCAGCAGGAGCCTCCTCGGGTATCAATATCCACCACGAAGATGGACGCTAAAAGAAAAAAAAATCCTGCACTAACTCAGAATTGAGTATAATAAAGGGCCATTTATTTAGGGGGTAGACTCACAGATCACAGTCCTCTGCTCGAGTGGGAAACAGCAACCAAATCCAGCAGCTGGAAGACAGAGAGAGTGAATACGCACTTTACAGTGGCAATTATAGGATAAAAGGCCATGCCCAAGTGGGCGGGTAACTTAAAGGCTACTGGCTGAAGGATTTCCTACAGCACACCGCCTTTTGACCAGTGACACACTGTCCATCTAAGGTAGGCCCTTAAGGCCCAGAGAAAATCTCAAAAGGCTCTCCTGAAACACAGAAGGAAAGAGAATCTCTCTTTATCTCCCCAACCCTTGACACACTCAGGCACATGCATACACACACACACACACACACACACACACACACACACACACACACGTGAGTGCACATGCATACACACACACACACACACACACACACACACACACACACATACGCATACACGCACACACGGATGCACATCCTGATTGTAGAGGCATTGACTTCCCCCTGCCAGTTCTGGGTCTCTTGGCTGGGGTTGGTTAAGACAACTTCCTCTGGTCCAGCCTACTTATCTGTCCATCAAGAATGTAAGGGGCAACCATCCAGTGCCAGCCTCCACACCAGGCTCACTTCTTGTTCTCGGCTAGCTCTCGGACGCTCCGGAAGACAGGCTCAGATACACGGGGAAGGTGAACGTGGGATGGTCCTTTCAAGGCACTGGACGGCGAAGGTGCTTGGGGACGGAAAGCATGCCTGAATGCCTTCTTTCCGAGGACCTCCACGTTTCCCGTGGTTTTAAATCAGTTCCCTGGAGTTTTTTCCTAGTTTTCTTCAGTCCTGCTACTTACCCTCCCTAATCCCTGTTGCTGTCTGCTGCTCTATTTTTTTCTGGAAACAGGAACATTTTGGCAAAGGCCAATCCAAAGACTTCCAACTGTTCGACTCTCCTCTTGAGAAAGACCTGCTGTTTAAGAACTCTGCCATTGGGCTGTTAAAGATCCCCTCGAGAATGGACTACAGGCTATACCTCGGCCATAACTATGTCACTGCCATTCGGAATGTACGGGAAGGACAGTGTAAGTACTCAGGAAAAGCCAGGTGCCGCCAAGGAATGTGGGGATCTAGGCAAGGGCAAGAAGCAGCCATAGTCTTTCTGGGGACTGTCAGCCTCTCCTGATGTTCCTATTTCTGTCTCTTGTTTGTGAGCCCAGGGCTGGAGTGGCCTGGAGGTCACCAAGGACTTAAAAGGCTGTTCACATTTTAAATGACCTGGGTTGGTACTAGTATCATTTCCTCTGCATAAATCAGGGTATTCCCATGCCCTTTATGAAGCCAATTAGACTATTACAAAGTAAATAACTCAAAGTTTCTGCCGATTTCACCTCTCTTGTCAATACTGTGGTCAACACAAGCATAATGAAGCTGTAGGTCAAGGGAGGTTGACCTTGCCCTGGGTTTCACTGGGGCACTGGAAGTCTGCCTGGTAATTTATTCATTCAATGGATATCTATTGAACATCTACCCACACACTCTGCTAGATGCTGGACTTAAAAACACGTATTAGATTCTGTTGTCCTGGAACTTTCAGGCCAGGGAGAGGACAAATGTTTGAGAGATGGTCACACTACTGGTCAACTAATCACAAAGTAAGAAAATGGAAAATAGCAACAGCGGTAAAATAGTAAGGTCCCACAGGAGTGAAGAGCAAAGTCAAACAGACCTTCCTGGCCAAGGGCTGAGCCCCTGTGAGGGAGTGATCTGGGGGGCCAAGCCTAAAAGATGGGCATGCATCCATTTACCTGTCTGTCTGTTTGTCTTTCTATCTATCTATCCCCCCTCTCTATCTCTCTATCTCTCTATCTCTCTATCTCTCTCTCTATCTATCTATCTATCTATCTATCTATCTATCTATCTATCTATCTATCTATCTATCTTTTTGCTGGACATATATTATAATGACTCCATGATAGTGCTGCTTAGATGGGAGGGTGCCCTGGTGAATGACACTGTGTGTCTCTTTCTCTAGCAGAATTTACATTCCCCCATGTGGAAACCTATGGCAAACCACGAACGCAGAAATAAGTGATTAGGTAAAAGTGCTGTTTGGAAGAGAAGGGAGAAAGAAAAGTGTTCAGATGTTAGGGTGTCCTGAGGTTAGAGAGTCAGCTTGTCAAAAGAAAAGCCTGGGGTCCAGAGAGATGACTCAGTGATCAAAAACAAGTATGGCTTTTGAGAGGACCCTAGAGTGTCTCCCAGTGCCCATATCAGACAGCTCACAACTGCCTGTAACTCCAGCTCCAGAGGCTCTGACACTCTCTCCCAGCCTCTGAGAGTACTGTACATACACAAACCCACATAGAGATACATGCACACATACCTAATTAAAATTAAAGACAAATAATCTTACCAAAGAGGAAAAGCTGAATTTAAATGAAATTAACCAAAGTTGGACTGTCTGCTGTCTTTGCTTCCCTAGGTGATTATGAGTTCCTCGAATGGGATCTATTTATCTCATTTGCATGAAGCAGTCAACAGCATTGACATATCCCAGACAGCAGCTGGGAGTTGTCTCTTTCCTGACCTCTGGCTCTTCGTTGTGAACTCCAGGTCCAGAAAGCCCCAGCAGCAATGTGCCAGTGAAGTGGTGTGCCCTGGGTCACCACGAGAGACAGAAGTGTGATGAGTGGAGCGTGAACAGCGGAGGGCAGATCGACTGTGAATCAGCAGAGACCACCGAGGACTGCATCGACAAGATTGTGGTATGACCCTTCTGCTTGTCCAGGGTAGTGTCCCCGACACTGGCCTGCTGGCCCAGTGTAAGGCCAAGGCAGCAAGTATAGCTAGCGCGGTATGGAAATCACCTTTCTAGAATCCTTGATTTCATGGTCTGAATTCAGCTCCCCAGGAGGTTCTAAGCCTTAGAGTTTGTGGGTCTGAAGGGTGCCTCCAGGTTCCTTTGACTCTTTACATTAGCCCACTGGGAGGGTAATCCCAGCCATGTCCTTTTGAGTGGGCTAAGATCATAATTTGCTCTGATGAGTGTGGAAGGCCTTGGTTTTGATCTCGCAGGCTTAATTGATCAACAATAGCGTTCCTTATTTTCCTATAGAGAATCTTCAAAATCCTCAGCCTGAGAAAGAAGAAAATAAGCACCCTTTGTCATCATATAACTCAGAGAAAACCCTCTTATTGGGATTGTGTTGTATATGTATAAGCTGCTTTGCGCCCCCCCCCCCCCCGTGCCACCATGTCTTATAAGCCTCTCTTGATTTGGTGTATCTATCTGTCTTAGAGAACTACTGAGGTTCTGCCAGGGCGGCACGCCTGGCAAGGGCAAGGAAGCGCTGAGCTTTCAAGCCCCGAGTGCCCCTCCCCCCAACCTGGCTGTTCTTTAAGTTGAACCTTCATTGTTGCTCGAGTTGCTACTCTGGCTGCGGCTGATGGTGGTGGTAGTATTTGGAGACAGGGTCTCCAGCGGCTGCTGTTGGTCAGTTCCTGGTTGAGGCTGAGGATGAACTGCTAGACCCACATCCTTCTGCGTCTATCTCTGGCGTGTTGGGGGTCATGTGCCACTATGCCACCACCTAGGCTTAGGGCTGCTCAGGACAAGATCTCGGTCCTCGGGTTTGCTCGGCTGGCACTCGACCAACTGAGCAGTCGTGTCAGTTGGATCTTTGATAACAAACTCGTAAATACATGGAAACAAAGTAATACCTATTGACGACTTGGTGCTGTCAACTGATCCTTCAGGAGTTTCTCAGCTCTGCTTTTGAGCTCTTAAAGATAACCCTGGGCTTCCTAAGCTCTCAGTCACAAAGCAAAGCAGACCACCAACCCCGCTCCTCTGTTGGCATTTTAAAATATTACAGTATTTTAGCGGCATTCCATTTTATTGTTTTGCCTGAGTCGAGGCAAGAAAAATGAAACCAAATTAATGCAAAGCCTGCCAACTCAAAACCTGAGTCTATTTAAAGGGATGCTAACGTCTGGGTGTGCCTGACCGATCACTGGGGGGGGGGGGTGTCCAGTGTCAACATCTATAGCTGCCCTGGCTTTACACCTTGTGCTGGGAAGGACTTTCAAGGAGACAGTCTAGAAGGGCAGGCGGCACAAACTCTCCATTTGTTGTGACTTGCTTTCTTTGCAGAATGGAGAAGCTGATGCCATGAGCTTGGATGGAGGATACGCCTACATAGCAGGCCAGTGCGGTCTAGTGCCCGTCATGGCGGAGAACTACGGTGAGTGTGCTGAGTGCCTGCTGCTGTGCTTTCTTCTTTCTGGGCTACGGCGAGGAGAACCACAGCCCAGTTTATCTCAGAGCCATGATAAAGTGCCTCCTGCCTGACACCCTTGGTGGTTGGTTGCTCTTTTTTACACTTTTTGCTCTTTGGGGGGCTTGCCACCCAGTTCTCAAATAGGGTCTTATTATTACTTATGAAGGCCCAGCCTTAGCTTGGCTTATTTCTACCCAGATTTTCATAACTTAAATTATCCCATCTACCTTTTGCCTTAGGGCTTTTTTTCCTTTTCTCACTTCTGTAATCTTACTTTCACTCTTCCTCCATGGATGGTTGTGCAGTTGGGTGACTGGTCCTTTCTTTTCTCCCTTGTTGATCTCCCTCTTCCCCAGTTTCTCCTCCTGTTGATTCTCTGTGCCTGCCAGACCCACCTATTCTTTCTCCTGCCTTGCTATTGGCCGTTCAGCTCTTCATTAGACCAATCAGGTGTTTTAGGCAGGCAAATTAACACAGCTTCACAGAGCAAAACAAATGCAACATGAAAGAATGTAATATGTCTTTGCACCATTAAACAAATGTTCCACAGCATAAACAGATGTAACACATCTTAAAATAATATTCTGCAACACTCCTCCCTAATCTCTGGGACTCCCTCACCTAGAATCTCCACAATTATCTTAAAGAATGAGAGTGGTGGTCCCGTCCGTCAGTTCCTGCTATGAGACTTCTGGTATGAAAGGAATCCCACTGCAGAGTCCATGGGGGATGTCTGGGAAGTCTTACAATGCCCAGCACTCCTGCTTTTCCCACTGCCTGTTGCAGGACAAATACATTCAGTTAACATCCCACTGCAGGCTTGATGCACAGCGAGCAAGACACTTGAAATGCAGTTTGTGAATGAACCCTAGAGGTCCAGCACCCAGGTGAACTCGCAACATCTGGAGAGTCTTGCCTTAGTGTCAACCAGTGATGTCTGCAGTTTTATTCACTTTTTTTTTCTTTTTTCATGAGATGGGCATGATCATCCAACCTATACAAAAATGTTTAATGATGTATTTTCCTTCCTCCAGATAGCTCCGATTGTGGAAGACTAGGACAAGGTGAGTTGAATCTAGCAATCACCTTGGAAGGTAAATCCTCATTGTTGGGGGAAGTGGTTAGGCAAGTTTATAAGTCAATGGAGAGATACAATTTCGGAATGCAAAGTGCCGTGTGAGGGTCAGTACTGATCAGGAGGGCTGTGCTTCTGCACTCCCTGTGACTTAGACATGGGGCTTCTCATTTCATGTTCTAACATAGGTACTGTCCTCTGTTAGGGCCCATGGGAGGATCCAGTGATTCAGAATTTATGAGTGGTTTAGAATCGTGGAAACAAATCTAGGCTCTTCCCATTGCTTCCCTCCATTTTGAATTAAAGTCTTAGAGTTTTAGATGAGAGCACAGCCCAGGAACCCTATTGATGTGGCCCTTGCAGGACTGAGTAGAGAGTGTCAAAATATTGATATCTAGGAGTATGGAGTTTTCTGCCCATCCAACAGGCTGGGCTCAGAAATTAGACTAATCAGACTAGGGCTCTGATTAGGGATAGATCTAAGATGATGCAAAGAGTAAGCAGGAAGCCTGACACCAACGTGACATCCACATGACACCGAGACCAGGTGTTCAGACTCCTTAGGTTGTATTCCACGAAACCATGAGTGTACAATTCTGGCCTTGTCCCCGCGACTAAACACAACCTTCTGACTTATAGCATATCTAGAAAGAGCCGTTATTATTCCATGGATAACATGGATTATTTTCTATTGGGGAGAATATTCTGAATTAATTAAAATAGAAAACAGGATCACAGGTTGGTGTTCTAGCCCCTATTAGAGGATATGTTTGTACTGTCGAAAAGGACAACCAATTCGTTCTTGGTGTTTCTATTTTGCATATTAACTCTGGTATAAATATATATTCTCCTTATGAGAGGATGCCTGGTCTGATTAACCCCCAGGCAAGTTCATTATAAACTCTTAGAGTTACATTCGCTTTCTGGCATCCATTTCTCTGATTTAATACTTTGGAAGTAAGTTACAGGTTTTTAACTCAATAACCTTAGCCTTATGCACACAGGTGAGGATTCTAGGCCAGCCATTTCTATAATGATTATGTGTTAACACTTTTGCTTTTCATTTTCACATTGTCTGGGCACTCATGTGTATGTGGGCACATGTGCATGTTTGCGATGCATCATGTAGAGGTCACAAGTCAACCTCAAGTGGCTTTTCTCAGGAGCCATCCACTTTGTCTTATGAAACTGGGTCTTTGATTGGCCTGGAGCCCCTTTAGTAAGTAAAGCTGGCTGTCGGTGAGCTCCAGGAGTCTGTCTGTCTTCATACTCTTTTTCCTGAGATTATAAGCACATGGCACATACACACACCACCACACCTGGCTTTTTTACATGGGTTCTGGGACTGAACTCCAGGCTTCATGCTCTTGGGGCAAGTACTTTACCAACTGAGCCATCTCCCCACATCTTCTTTTTAAGTTGATCTATAAAAACATTTAAAAACTGTACATGATCACAGGCACCACGTGATCTTAGTGCTTAGCTTTTGAACTTCTTCCTGCTAGACTGTCCTGTTCTTCACCAGAGTCAGCTGTTGGGAAGTTCCTTTCATGCACAGTGTGCTATTTAGGATATCCTTGCTGTTTTATGAAGACAGTGGTATCTGCTGGAAGCATATACTCTGGGAGGTCCCAGAGATATTAATAATGATTTTGGTGGCATCTTTCCTGTAGGGTATTATGCTGTGGCAGTGGTGAAGGCATCGAACCGTGACATCACCTGGGAGAATCTGAAAGGCAAGAAGTCCTGCCATACCGCAGTAGACAGAACTGCTGGCTGGAACATCCCCATGGGCCTGCTCTACAGTAGGACCAAGAGCTGCAAGTTTGGTGAGCAGAGCTGGGAAAGGAACTTGGCATGTAGAGAAAAAGGGTCCTGAGAAAGGCTGTGGGATCCAGGTCCACAGAAGAGAAATCTCATCAAAGCGAACCTCTAGGAAATAGCAAAAAGAACTGGAAGGGCTAAAGAGCCGGGGAGTGGAGTGGGCATGATTTGTCTCAGTTGCACATAATGGCTCCAGTGAATATACATTTACATTTCTCTGTCCCATGAAGAAGACCAGATGTGGGCATTCCATGGCTGATAAGGCCTTGAAGTCTTCTTCCTTTTTCCCGCTCCACAGTTCCCATCATAGCACGTCCATGTTCAAAGCTGTCTTATAGTTTCCAAGGCATTCATGATCCAGGCAGGAATGAGAGCAAATGGAAGTTTATACCAGCTGTGATCCGTGTGTGAAAGGAGCCTTCTGGACATTATTTTTGATATAACTTCCTATTGTGCAGATCTTAGGTGTGTTATCATGCACCTGCCTACACACACCTACCACAAATCAAGCTAGATTTGTGTTACTGAGGAACAAAGTGAAATGGACATCGGGTAGACACTACGCGATCCCCGCTGTGGGGGTTCTATGATATGATTATTGGAGGGGGGAGTCCTGGGTCTCTTACGGTGTTGGTCAGTTCCTGCTCAGCTCCTAGGAGTCTTCCGTTTACTCTGTGCCCTCTGAAGATCCTGAGTGGAGTTTGTCTCTACCGCCTTAAGTTTCTGAGTAGACGATCCCAACAGACAGATGTTGACAATGGCTTTGCTTTCTGTCGGCTTCCTGAGTGCTTCTTTCCTTGTGCCTCCAAATTTGGGCAACTCCTTAAAAATGAGAGAACTCTGTAAACCTGACTGTGATCCCTGCAGCCCTAGCATATGTAGGCACTGAAAGTGAGGACGCATCTCTAAGCTGAGATGCTCCGGTACCTCAGAAACAAAGCCCACCTGGAGCCCTGGGCAGAAAACACGGGCTCCTGACCTCTGACCCCTGGACCCTCCGGGACCTCCTGGACTTTCACAGCCATGGAGGCAGCCAAAATGCAGGAAAAATACCCTGTTCTTCTCTTAAGCTTTGAAATGAAAGGGGAAACTCAAACAAACACAACCCAAAGAAAGCAAACAAAAATAGTGGTCCAACTTCAGAAATTCCATTTCTTCACTCTTCAGGCTGGAGATGGTGGCGCTCAAAGGCTCCCCCTCCCCCGAAGTGGGCGGCCCACAAGATCCTTTCCCACCCTTGATAGGTTTCCTTCAAAGGCCTGCGGTCTGGCGATTCTGGGTTGGTGGGTGGCAGGTTTCCGAGTGAATCATTTAAATCCCTGTCATGTGTTAAGTAAGTCATTAGAACTGACACATGAAGAAACTGACTCTCTTTTGTTCTTGGGTCCAGATGAATATTTCAGTCAAGGCTGTGCTCCTGGATATGAGAAGAATTCCACTCTTTGTGACCTGTGCATGGGCCCAAACAAATGTGCTCCAAACAACAGGGAGGGATATTTTGGCTACACAGGGGCTTTCAGGTGAGTTTTCCAATCCTGACAAGACGTCTTAGTCTTGACCAGATTCCTTTTAGGAAGTGAGATGAGGTCTTATAAGTATTGATCTGTTAAGTGTTGCACATATTAGAATGAGAGATTCCCCCCCCCCACATGTAGAGATGGTGTGTGAAGGGGCCTCTGAGTCCCCACAGAGCTCTGCCTGCCAGACCAGTGAGACTGTCGGGGAATGCTGCTTAGCAGTTCTCGACTGGGGACAGTTTGCCTCCGTCGCCTTGGCAATGTCAAGAGATGCTTCTGATGGTAGTGATGTTGGCAGGGGTGCCTCCGGCATGGAAGGGATGGAAGTAGATAAATCTCTACAGTGCATGGGTCAGCAATAGCTAACAAAATCCCAAATGTCACTCATGCCAAAGCAATGCTACCTTTCCATAATCGACAAAATACTGAGCCAGGGGTTTGGCTCAAGCTTTTCCATGCTCCCCAAGAACCACACTCATTTTGAAGTAGAGAATAATGAAGAACATGATTTCTAAATTCCTCTCTACCATGATATTTTATAGAATCTCTATCATTTTTAAAACTTAAATATTAACATTTGAATTACATATATGTATGTGTGCTGTGTGCAGGCTACCCGTGGGGGCCAGAGGAGGGTGTCAGATCCCACAGAGCTAGAGTTATAGGCAGTTGTGAGCTTCCTGGTGTGGGTGCTACGAGCAGAGCTCAGGGGCTCTGCAACAGTCACTTAATGGGGAGTTGTCATTAGAAAACTGATTCCCTGCTCCCCATGTTCATGCTGGGGAAAGGATATAACCTACTGAGGAGTGTACTAAAAAATATGATGTAGAGAGTGGGAGACGTCTAAGTGGGTAAATGTCTGCCACACATACATGAGGACCTAAGTTTGCATGCCTAAAATCCACATAAAAGGTACCAGCGTGTGTGTCTCAGTGCTTGTGGGTGTGGGATGGAGAAAAGACAGGTGGATCTCTGGAGCTCACTAACCAGCCAGTTTAGCCAACTGAGGAGCTCCAGGGTCAGTGAGAGACCATGCCTCAAGAGACAGTGGTCAAGGAAGATACCCAACGCTGACTTCCAAATTCTGCATGTATGTATACATGTGTACAGGTTTTACACACCCACATGAATGTGCATATACTCTCCCCACCCCATACACAAAGAATAAGAAAAAAAGTATGCAGTGTGTGGAGCTGAGTTTGTGGAACTGCATAGCAACTTGGAGGCTTTTGCTTTCCTCATTATGCATGCTGTTTAGTGATAGAATGGTCCTAACCCTTGCTGGCGTCAGGTGGCCAACCTCGGTTCTGTATGATGCCTCTGAATGACATGTGTCAATTTGACCTCCTGTCTTCTTTCTCCTCCTATCTGGACCTGTTCAGATGTCTTGTTGAGAAGGGAGATGTAGCCTTTGTGAAACACCAGACTGTCTTTCAAAACACTGAAGGTATGTGTGCCCCCTCTCCTTTTCCCTACAGAATCTGGGCCCCTGGGATTGCTGGGGTTCTTTCTCGCCACCAGAGGGTTAACTTGATCTTGTTCTTTGTCACCTTAGATTTCTTTTGTGCTTTTCTAAGAAAGTCTCTGATTTCTAGGCCTTGACTCTCCACTTTTCATAAAGACTACAAAGTCTATAGCCTCCTGGCTATAGTTTATCTCAGAGACCTGACCTTTCACCTTCTTCAGCACCTCTGATTTCTAAGCTGCTATTTTTATGCAGAATGATGGCATTGCAAAGCCCATTGGCACACAGGCACACCCTTCATACTTCTCTTCTCATAGCTTCTGACCTTAAGTAGAGAACATTGTTATAATTCCCTGCCAGTGTCTCCTCTCTTCCCTCCATATAACACAACAATACTTGGGAATCAAGGCCTTGCTCATGTTTAAGCAAGATTTTTGTCACTCAGGGTGGTGGAAGCAATTTGGTTATATTAGAATTAAGTTGAATTAACTGTTCCACATCTACATGAGCCAATTCACATTCAACAGAACTCATCATTCCTGTAGTAGCCAAAAAAATTATAAACACTCCAAATATCTATAAATGGAGGGATGACTTAAAAACATTGTTCTATGCCACACCATAGAATGGGGTCCAGTTATTTGAAAGAATAACCTCGGTTTCCATAATGGTAGAAAAAAAAACCTGTAAGGTATATAAGTAGTCAAAATAGGACTACAGAAGTTTATTTATGTTAAGATCGAATGCTAAGAAAACTAACTGTAAGCTTGTAACATCGTGTAGACCCATATGTAAGTAAATGAGCATGAGGCATAGATGGAGCCGGGCAGTGGTGCAGTGGTGGCGCACGCCTTTAATCCTAGCTCTCAGGAGGCAGAAGCCGGCAGATGTCTGTGAGTTCAAGGCCAGCCTGGTCTACCGAGTGAGTTCCAGGACAGACCAGGCCACACAGAAGAACCTGTCTCGAAAAACATATAAACAAGAAACAAAACCAAACCAAAACAAAACAAAAAGCCATAGATAGAAACACAAATTGTGAAATTGAGATTTCAAGAATTGGAGTCAAAGGAGCCAAAAGGAACCAGTGGGATTTGGGGAATGCAGAAGTGAGGATTTTCAGCTCGTAAGTAGAAACATTTAAAAATACTCTCACCTTGGTCTCACGTAGTATTTATTCAGTTATGGAAAGATTCTTGAGAGAGCAATGAATGAGATGAGAAAGGCTGCAACCCTGCTTTATGGGAGAGAGATGAAAACTGACTAGATAAAATGCCAGGAGGAACCATGGAAAGCCTCAGGTCGGGCAAAGGCGTTTAAATTGACTGACTGATTAATTAAGTTTTGCAAAGAGACTACAGAAAAGATTAGGCAAGCAAGCAGGTCAGACAGGACGTTTTCACCTGGGACCAGCATCTTTAAACTGAAAATGCTGATGCTGACTTAGCACCCTATTTATTTATTTATTTGGTCTGGAGATGTGATGTGTGCAGAGATGGGGAAACTGACTTAGAGTGTCACGTTCTCTCCATGCTGGAGCCAGAAGTACAAAGACTTTGGAACTTCATTGTTGTTTGAGACAGGCAGTCCTCACTCTGTATCTCTGGCTGGTCTCGAACTCACTATGTAGACCAGGCTGGCCCCAGACTCATAGAGCTCCATTTGTTTCTACCCCCAAAAGCTCAGATTTAAGGTTGCTCCATCATGCCTGGCCTTTTAATAAACACTTTGATGTTGTTTAGCTTTGGAATTTAATAGAAATGAAGATCTTATTTTTTTTTTAAACAACACCCATGGAACATGGTTCTTTTTCATTTGGCTGAAAGGGAATATCAGAAAGAAGTACTCACCAGTAATCTCTTGTGAACTGAGTACCACCTGAGTGTTCCTTCCTCCCAACACTGCCATCATCCTGCACACGTGCTTCTGTGAGCCAGAAGGCACAGATTTCCCATACACCAGCAGGTCAGGGACACCCCCCCCCTCCAGTAACTAAAATGGTCAGATCTGGCTAATCCACCCTTTTCTCTACCCAGGAAGAAACCCTGATGCATGGGCTAAGGATCTGCAGCTGAAGGATTTCGAGCTCCTGTGTCCTGATGGCAGCAGGAAGCCAGTCACTCAGTATGCCAGCTGCTACCTGGCCCAAGCTCCAAACCACGTTGTGGTCTCACGGAGAGAGAAGGCAGCCCGTGTTAGCATGGTGCTGCTTAACCAGCAGGTATGGACCATCCAGGGTCTCCCACCATTTAGTCCTAGCTGGGGCAGGTTATTTGGAGGTCAGAGCTGAGCAAAGCTTCGGTGTAGACATTTGCTTTCTGAAAACTATAATGTGGAGTCCTGAGATTGTGGCTCAGAATACCCCAGTTTAAATCTCAGCTCGCAGCTTTTCTAGACGTGTCGTCTTAGACGTATATGACTTAAAATTTCCAGTCTCAGTTTCTTTACATATTAAATGGAAACAGTTAACCAAAAAAAGGGGAAGTAAGCACACAAAAGGATTAGGAAATATGTGTCTAACGAAGGGGCTTACAGCGTGTTAGCTGGGACTGGATCCCTCAGACCTGGCTCTGTTTCTGTGGAATTCCTAGTCACTAGAGACAAGTTCCCACCTGATCCATGAGTCCTCAGGACCTGGAATCTGCTTTCCAGCCTGCTTTGACCTTGACTCAGGGATTCCTTTATTTTCCTCAAGTATGCTTTTCTGAAAATGAGGATGAATGATCCTGCTTCCTAATGTTCTTTCATACAAACCTTCAGGACCAGAAATTATTTCTATGTCTCACGCTTAGACCAGTTGTACCACGCTCCTAGCAGTTTGGAAAACACAAGATTCTCACCCTCAGAACAACCCTGTCAGGGACAGCCTGGGAGAGGGCTTTACAGGGGGGCGGGTGTTGCTTGAATACTTGAATCCCTGGAGCCCTCTACACACAAACATCACTCTACCTTCTGGCGTAGCTTCCTGCCTGTTAATCTGTCATTAGTTTTAAAAGAAAACAAAACAAAACAGGATAGCATGTCTTCAAAAGCCCCTTTTAAAAGCACATGGGTGATAATATTGAGTGATGTTTCTAGTTTGACATTAGATTTGGATCAAATAATCTTACAGTAGCTAACAGTTTATCAGTGTTACCAATGTTTAAAGAGGGAAATTCTTTAACCTTTTGACAGCATCTTAAACCTCTGCTTCTTATGTAGATTTTTAAAATACTATGTCAGCTATACAGAGTTTAAAATGAAAAAGAGGGCACAAGATGATAATCACGAGCATTCAAGAATACTCCTCGCTGGGATAGGAATGCTAGGCTGACTTCCAGCGCCCTCATTTACAGCCGTGGGCTGGGAAAAGCTATGTGGCTGGTCCAAGACAAATTTAAAATGTATCCAGACGTGAACTTCTATTGGCTTCTTTTTACCATTCCTCTGAGAGCGCATGTCTGATGTCTTTTTGGCAACCATACTGGAAGGGGCATATCATTTCTTCTTCCTTTAAGCACCTCTGAGACACTTAAGCCACAGGATGAAAAAGAGAGCAGCAAAGGTGGGAGTGGGTAGTTGAGAGGCGTCGGAGGTCTCAGAGGACAGTAAGATAAGGGGTGTTCAGAGGACTTTGGGGAATTGGGGAAGCACGTGGTTCAGGTTCAGGTGGGTAAATGGCAGATGAGAGGGGTGGCAAGTTCCTAAGGTATATTCCAGAGTTTTCCTTTGGTTGTCCAGGGCTGGCTGCTTGGAGTTTTCAGCCTCCTGCAATGCCGGTGTTTCCCGCTGCTCAGGGATGTGTGTTCACAGGTGTTCTCTGTTCCTTTGACAGACTGCCTTTGGAAGCAATGCTGACTGCTCTACGACCTTCTGCTTGTTCTCATCTGACACGAAGGACCTTCTGTTTAGAGATGACACCAAATGCTTGTTTAAACTTCCAGACGGCATCACATGGGAAAAATACTTAGGAGAAGGCTATGTCCAAGCTGTTGGTAACATGAGGAAATGCTCAACCTCACGTGAGTAGAATGAGCAGTGTGGAGAAGTTGCAAAGCAAACCCGGAGACGGGCTCTGGAATGGCAGCTGTAATAGAGGAGTCAAGCATGGCCTCTAGGAAATAGCCACAAGGGCAGGATAAAACCCAGCATATACAGCAGGATGGGTTTTATATATATAGTAAGGGGACCACAGATCCAGGACTCTAGGGTGGTGAACTTATTAGATGTACATAACCTCATCTTATTTCGAAGAATACAAAAGGGACACTAAACTTATTAGTGGTTCTTGTCCAATACGGCAACCACTAACAAGATGTGGCTACTTAAATTTAAATTACAGCTGAATTAAATCCAGATGTCATTTCCTCAATCCCATCCAGCTACAATTTTAGCGAAAAGTAGCCACAGCAAAGAGAATGTTGCGGAACATTTTCTTAGACAGGTCTGATCTACAGAACATCAATCGTGATACGTTCTGGCTAGCTCTAGTTGTCAAGGCCGTCTGGAATGTCATATGCCAGGCACTGAGACAGGATAAAATGCAGTTGGGCAGTCTGCTTTGGGATTAATCGAATCACTTGGAAGCATTTGGAAGGTGTGAGAGAATCCACGTGGTGAAAAGTGGTTAGTCTTCGATTGTAGTTTGTAGGTGAGACTTGGTCCTGATTTAAGTTGCTATCTTAGAGATACAGCTTGAGTGAGTCTGTGCTGCTTCAGGGTGTTGGCACTTTCAAGGTTTCCATATGGGGTTGGTAAGACGGTTCAGAGGGTGAACGAGCTCGTACCATCAAGCTTGTGGCTTGATGACCTGAGTCTGATCCAGATCTGACGGTAGAAGGATAATGTATATATGCACGCACAGGTTGCCACGTGCAGTTCTAGTGTAAACAATGTGCTTGCTGATGTCCACTGTTACAAAATCCAAGTCAATATTTCCTTGGCCTTTATGCTGCCCAAGATGACAGTCTAGCGTTGCTATTCTCCACCCCATCCCTAGACCCAGCTTAGAAATTGATGGGGACTGCTAGCCACCATCTGCCTAAAAATCTCAGTAAAAGAGTCTTCATAGACAACTTTTAGCTATATGAATTCAGGTGCAGAGTTTCACCCATTAAACACAAGGGAGAGCTGGGTGGTAGCGGCACACTCCTTTAATCCTAGCACTTGGGAGGCAGAGGCAGACAGATCTCTGTGAGTTCGAGGCCAGCCTGGTCTATAAGAGCTAGTTCCAGGACAGGCTTCAAAGCTACAGAGAAACCCTCTCTCGAAAAACCAACCAACCAAACAACCAACCAACCAACCAACCAACCAAATAACAACAACAAACAAGGTAGCGGATGCTGCGGAGTAGAAAAGTTGTGTTACAGCTACTGCATCCTTGGTGTGAGGCCCTCCCTGTGGTAGGCACAGGAGCTATGGAGGCTTGTAGAGATGGGCATTGGAACATGCACCAGAACAATGAGCCTTGGCACCGTTGTGTAAATATAAGAGGATTCTGAAGGCCCTACCTCTCCCTTCTCTTCCCAGGACTCCTGGAAGCTTGCACTTTCCACAAAAATTAAAATCCAAGAGGTGGGCTGCCACTGTGACGGAGATGGGTGTTCCTGTGATCCATGGACTTCCCTTGGCCCCTGTGGCCTGAGGGGTTCAGGCCAACTGGGTCCATCTTCATGTTTGTGTGTCTTCGTGTAATAGAGCACAAAATAAAAATGACTGTGACTTTATATTTCCCAAGCTCCGTTCTTTTCTAAATGTTTTCACCAGGATTTCTTTATACAATCTGACTATATATGTTTACAACTGAACCTTGTCTTCTGAGTTCAAGATTCAAGTTGTTAGGGCTGGTGAGATGGCTTGGGGGTAAGGGCACTGACTGCTCTTCCAGAGGACACGGGTTCAATTCCCAGCACCCACATGGGGGCTCACGACTGTTTGTAACTCTGCTTCCAGAGGCTCTGATGCCCTCTTCCTCTCTGCAGGATCCTGCATGCATGTGGGACACATGAGCTCATGCAACCACATACACATAAAATAAAAGATTAGAAAGTAATTTAAAAAATAAAAATATTTTTTAAAGAAGTAAAAAAATTCAGATAGTCTTTCCCACAGCTCTGGGTTCCAGAGACTCAGTTCCAGGGTCTAGCCCAAGAACAGACCCTTTTGAAAGAATCTCCTCGGTCATCCTAATAGAATCAAATCTATACGGCACACACATGCACATACACATGGTGCAAGAAAGAGAAATTTGTTACAAATAACTGCCCCAGTGAGTACTGAGAAAGAATATCTAATTTTATTAAATGTGTTTTGACACCATAGCCATGGTCCAAAAACGAATCTGAAACAACTTTTGCTAAAAATCTTCTTTTGAGCCTGAGAACAGAGCGATTTCTGTCATCAGTCCGTGGGCTGGGGTCATTTACATCACTCAGCGAGACATCGTGGGCAGGCAAGGAAAAGCTCCTCAAGTGCTGGTCACTGGGAGCTTTGGTATATAGAGTGTCCCTCAGTAAGGGAATGCTGCAGAGGCGGGCTGGCAGGCCAGATAGCGCCCTCTAGTGTTACAGTTCTCCTTTAGGGCTGCAGGTATTGGAGCTTAGCTGTCACTTAGCAGAGAGCAAAGACAGCAAGGGCCTGGGTAAGCACTGCTAATTCGGAAGTAAAAGTGTTCCGTGCCCCAAAGTCTTGGCTTATTTGTATAAAATGAACGTTGAAAGGAGTGCTTCAAATAAGAATGGCCCACGAGCGCCACATTAACACTGACAGTGACTTTAGCAGATTTTAACAGTCTGCCCAGTGCCCAGGGAGAGTTGGGGCCCTGCCCCTGTCTCATTCTACCCTCTCTCCTCCCCTTCTCAGTCCACTTTCCTGTAAGATACAGCTCATCCCCATGTGTTGATAGTAAGTAGTTGGTTGAACACATAGAGACTAGTCATCAATTCTGTCATTTCCCACCCTGATGTAAGCCACGGCCACCTGCCAACTCTTCAACCAACATACTTCTTTATTCTTAAGCCTGTTTCCTGAACTTCCTGCAGGTGTCTACCATCAATAATCCTAGCACTTGGGAGGAGGAGGAAGAAGGTTCAGCAGTTCAAGGTCATCATCAGCATAGCAAGTTTGAGGATGGCTTGGATAACATGAGAACTTGTCTTAAAACACAACACATACACACACAGGCATACACAAACACACCTTTATACCATCTAACCCCAACAATTTTCACCTGATAATGTTTAAACATTTTTTTTTGAGAGGACGATACAAGATCTTACATTATGTGGTGGAGGTTGGTGTATGTGGAATTTACTATAAAGGTTAGGCTCTGTGGTGGTTTGAATGAGAATGACCCCATAGGGTTTATATGTTTGAATGCTTGGTCCCCAGTTGGTGAAACTATTTGGGAAGGATTAGGAGGTATGGTCTTGTTGGAGGAGGTATGTACACAGAGTGTTTTTGTAGGGACTACTGGCCAGCTCCCAAATAACCACATGGAGACTTAATTATAAATGCTTGACTGGTAGCTTAGGCTTGTTACTAACTAGCTCTTACAACTTAAACTAACCCATATTTCTTATCTAAGTTCTACCTCGTGGTTCATGGCTTATTTCCTCATTTTTGACATGTTCTACTACTTCTTCTTCTGGCTCAAGACTCCTGAGACTCTGCCCTTCTTCTTCCCAGTGTCCTCCTAGTCTGACTCCCCCAGCTATCAGTCAGTCAGCTCTTTTTTTAACCAATGAGAATAATACATATATACAGTGTACAGAGATTGTTCCACAGCAGAGGTGTGTCACTGGGGGTGGGTTTTGAGGTTTGGAAAGCCCACACCAGGCCCAGTTTCTTATTCTCTGCCTCCAAATCAGGATGCCAGTGCCCATGCCTGCCTGCTGCCACACTCCCTACCATGAAGATCACAAACTCACCCTCTGAAACTGTAGGCATGCTCCCAATCAAATGCTTCTTTCTGTAAGTCGACTTGGTCATGCTAATGGAACAGCAACTAAGATGTCACTGGGCCAGGCTTTGACATTTCAAAAGTCCACATCATGCCCAGTTAGATCTCTTTATCTCTGCACTGGCTTGTTGTCTTAACATGTGAGCGCTCAGCTGCTGCTCCAGTGCCTGCCTGCCTGCCTGCAGCCATGAGCCCCACCATGATGGTCATGGACTCTATTAATCTCTGGAACCCTGAACCCCAAATTAAATATTTTCTTCTATTAGAGCTCTTTGTCATGGGGTTTCTTCACAGCAATAGAAAGGTAACTAAGATAAACTGTTCTCAAACTCGTGACCATCATCCTGAATTAGTCTCTTGAGGGCTGGGATTATGGGTATCAACACTGCCCCTGACTCAAACAGTGATAAGTCTAAAGAAGAAGCAAAGTGTGTGTGTGTGTGTGTGTGTATGTGTGTGTGTGTGCACATGTGTGTGTGTGTGCGTGCGCGCATGTGTGCATATGCATGTGTGTGTGTGCGCGCATGTGTGCGTGTGTGTATGTGGTATTAGGACCATAAAAAGAAAAGAAACATAATGTGTCATGATTTCTGATAGTACTGGTACCTTAACCGTTATAATAATTTATACCCTACCTTTTTAAAGCTCACATCCTCAACACTTCTCTTTGACCTGAAGCCCTTTATCAAATGAATCCTACCACATAATGGCAAGAAGTTAAGCATATAGAAGCCTAACTGCCTGTAATCAAATCCCGGCCCCACCTCTACTTATGCGCTCCTGGGGAATTAGTCAAACCCTTCCCCAGTTTCCCCTCTGTAAAGGTGCACTGGTGAGTCACTGCGAGGATTTAACAAATGAGTACATTAACAGCTTTCTGACCCCAGAAAGCACTCATTACCGGTAGACATTAGTCCCATTCTCGTACCGTAGTCTTCCTTACTCGCACTTCCCACACTTCCAGAGCCCCTGAGCTCACGTGCATCCTTATCACAGGGGCTTCTCTGCTACAAAAGAGTCTATCAATAACTGCCAGACACCTTTGTTTCATTTCTATGCCACCTACCCAGGAACTCCCAAAGAAGCCCAGTTGATTACTAACTCCAAATGAAAGCCAAATACATATTTGTAGCACTTTATATCTCTTTATTCTACCACCTGCTTGAGGGTGGCTTTCAGGTTTTTCAGAAACACCTGAAACACAACCTAGACTGGCAATTTTCATTCTAGCTTCCCTTTCTCCTTGAGTCCACAGCCTCACTCTCCCTTAGTAAAGTCTTCAGTTCACCAAAGGACACGTTTGCTGTGGACTATTCCTGTACACAGTGTGACTATATGTCATTGGGATTGGTTTAATAAACAAGCTGACTGACCAGTAGCTGAACAGGATAAATTTAGGTGGGAAAGCCAAACTGAGAATGATGGGATGAGGCTGGGTGGAGTCAGAGAAGTCTGTGGCAGACACAGAGAGAGCAGGAGAGGAACGTGATATGCTAATAAAGGTACCACCACGTGGCAGTGTGTAAGTAAGGAATATGGGTTAATTTAAATGTAAAAGTTAGCTAGTAATAAGCCTGAGCTATCGGCCAAACATTTATAGTTCATATTCAGCCTCTGAGTTGGTTATTTGGGACCAGGCCTGGTCGGGACAGGAAACGTCCGTTTACACACATTCGTCTTTTCAGTCACCCAACATCAATGTTCTAGGAGAAAGCCTTGATTATTCTTCTCAAGTCATTATCTATATATTTTATAGTCATTACAACTTACATATTTTATCATCTAAATAACCCTGAAATTTGTGCCCTCCATTCCACCCGTTTATCCTGTGTTAGACTCTGGGTATCATTTGCCTAAATACGATAAGAGACTCCTATTTGTAGAGGACCGCAACCACATTCGCCATTGCAAGATGGCGCTGACATCTGGTTCCCCAGCCCGGTGAACAGGATAACGCGCATGTGTTGGTAAATTTCCAACGCTGTAGTCCCTGCCTCTCCCGAGGCGTCATCTGGGATGATGGGTAGCTGACCAATCTGAGAGTGACACGTCCGAGGCGGGGACTGTTTCCTATATAAGGGCTGGGTTCACCTCGCTCTGGGTCTCCGCCATGTTGGCTTATGCTCTCACTCTCAAGATGCATTAAAAAGCTGTTCTGGAGAAGGATCCTACGTGCCCTGCGTCGTTCTTGCTGGCAAGACAGTAGCGCAGGACACCTATTGGTAGCCCAGCTTCAATCTTTTCTTCCTCAAGGGTCAGATCTCCGTAGATCTGCCAGTTATCCGTGTCATCTTCGACTTGTTCCATTCTGAATAAACTCTAGGTTCTTCAGCACAGCACACCAAACCCCTTCGTGTCTGAGTCCTACAAACTTTGCCACTGATTTTCTGCCACTTTGGCTTAAGTGAACATTCAAGTCAATTTTTTTTACATAGTTTGTAACTAGTCACTCAGCATCTGGTGACGACAGGGCTAAATGAGTGGCCCAAAGTGTGCTGATTTCATCTGTGGTGTGTCTAAATCACGCAGGGAGGGGGGGTTCCAAACACAAACCTTAACATCTGTTTTATTTCCTACCCAGTCAAAAACGCTTCTTCCTATCAACTCACTGCTACGCTGTGAGAAAGGGAGAGCCCCATTCCCTGCTTCCTGGTGCCTCGGAGTTGGAGTTTTGTGCCGTAATGTGGAATTGTAAAGATGTCTTTTAGTCTTTAAGGAACTTTGACTTCTCCTGCCATCACCCAGTCATACCTGTACTTTAAATCACACACACACTTTAAAACAATGGCACCTGCTTAATGACAGAGACTGCAAACACAGCTCCCCAGGCTTGGCCATTTCTGATCAGCAGAGGTGTTTTTAAATTGTAGCACACATTTTGAACGTTTTCAATTTCCCGCTGAAATCTTAAGTCGAAGACTCACCTTGAAAATCTTTTCTAAATAAGTTCTCTTGAGAAGCTAGGAGAACTCGTCTACCCCAGGCCTCAAATGGTCTGTGTGGTTTGAGTAGGGCCTTGCTTTCTATGGGTGGAAATGATCAGTTTATTGTCGATGTCCCCCAAGTACTGATTTTCCTATTTGCTTTTTAAATGTAGTCATTTGAGTTTTCCCAGCCGAGCCTGTCAATTGAGGACACAGAATTACTGAGCTTCCCACGTGTCGCTGACTTTTCCTCATGCTTCTCTTCGGCACATCTTTTTTCTTTAGCTGCCAGCATAGGTTACGGAATCCTTCAGGATTCGGGTCCATCTCTAGCTACTTTTCTCTGATCCCATGAAGGACTCTGCTTATCTTTGTGGATTCTCATGCGGCACGGGGGCTCATTCTGTCACATCTCTTGCCACACTGGTAAAATGTCTCACAAGTCTCAGAGCATGTAAAGGCAGAGTAGAAATTCTCAAGTGAAAATTTGCAAGTCATTAATTTTGCTCAAATTCATCGTTCTTTCAAAAATCTAAAAAAAAAAAAATGGGAGTAGCGGGTTGGATGTGACTAAAACATTTATGTATAAAATTCTCCAAAGATAAAATTTTAAGTGTAAGGGGGAAGACGCACAAAAAAGATAGAGTCGGTGCATACACATCCCAAAGCGTAAAGATAATCAGTAGACCAGTTAACTGGGTTGTAGAAACCAAAAAACTTCAACTCCCATCAGGCACCTGGCGTTCCTCGGGGCATGCAGGAGGGAACTACGGCCCCATGAACTACCATTCCCGTGATGCTCTGCGTCCTGGGGCGCGGAGTCTAGAGCCACGTCGCTTAGGCAGCCCGGGAAGACCACGCACCTTCCCTCATGGCGTCCGTAGACACCCGGCGTGTTGGGGACAGCGCCGGGGGCTCCTTCCAGCCTTACCTCGATTCCTTGCGGCAGGAGCTGCAGCAGAGGGATCCGACGCTGCTGTCCGTGGCGGTGGCTCTGCTCGCCGTCCTGCTGACGCTGGGTGAGGCGGCAGGCGAGAGCGGCGAAGGCGGGGTGGCGGAGTTGGAGCTCGGCGCTGCAGGCCTGGGAGGCGGGCGGCGAGGCTCCCCTTTTCTGCCATCCGCCCTCCAGAACGCAGCAGCGTCGAACCGGGACTCCGAAGTGACCTAGTTCTTGGGACAGTAGTGCCCGAGGCTCCCCTGTGCGCTTGAGCGCGGAGGGCGTCCGTCGCCATCGCTCACACCAACTTTGAGCTGCTTGTGTCTGGGAGCTTGGTGCTGGGCTACTGAGGTACTAAGGAAAAGTGGAGATCGTCAAATCAGATTTAGCAAGCCATTATTATTATTTTTTCCAGATTCATCGTTCTGTAGATACTAGAGGTCTCCACAGTTAGGATGTGGGACATAGGTGTGGAAAAGTTGACGGTCGATAGTGACTGGCACCCGTGGGTTCCTAACTATAACTCTAATGGGGTGTAACAGTGAAACTAATGCTGACGGACGCGTTGTTTTGCCGCAAATGCCTATTAAAACCCTTGACAATGAAGGCTGCTTTTCTCCGCAGTTTTCTGGAAGTTCATCTGGAGCAGAAAGAGCAGTCAGAGAGCTGTTCTCTTCGTTGGGCTTTGTGACTCCGGGAAAACGTTGCTGTTTGTCAGGGTAATGCTTTGATTCCCGCCTCTGTTAAACGTACTAGGAACTGTCATGGCATTTCAGTATTCCTGTCATTTTGTGGTTTATTTAGTACAGGACACTATGTCAGCAAGTTTGGGACAAGTTTTTAAAAATATTTTATTTAAGTTTTTTTTCTTTTTAATTATATGGATGTGTGTGGATGTGTGCACATGAGTGCCTGTGTCTGTAGAGGCCAGATATGTAGACTCCGTGGAGTTGGAGTTACAGGCTATTCCGAGCTGCCAGATGCTGGGACTTGAACTCAGTTCCCTTCCTTACAGGAGCAGTATGTGTTCTTAACCAACTTAGCTGACCCTCCTTCCATCCTGGGAGTTATGGGAATACAAAAAGGCTCTAGGAAAACCTGTTCCTGCACTCCACACACGCACACATTTAGTCGTTTCTGTGGGGTCTTCTGTAGATAATTTCTGTGGGTAAAGATGCCAGAAGAGTTGTTGTTGGATAAGAACCCCTTCTGAGAGCTTACTGGAGACTTTCATTGTTTCAGATTTTGGATGTTTTGAATTTTGGCATATTTGCATACATCTTTATCATTTAAGCATCCTTAAAAGGAAATGCTCCAAAATTCAAAACAGTATATTTTACTCATTTGTAATCTGTGTTGTGAATTATTTATTTATTTACTTATTTATTATGTATACAGTATTCTGTCTGTGTGTCTGCCTGTAGGCTAGAAGAGGGCATCAGATCTCATTACAGATGGTTGTGAGCCACCATGTGGTTGCTGGGAATTGAACTCAAGACCTTTGGAAGAGAAGGCAGTGCTCTTAACTGCTGAGCCATCTCTCCAGCCCCCAAAATGTGTAGCCCAGGCTGGCCTCGAGCTCGTGATCCTCCTGCCTCTGCCTTCTTCAGCAAATCCTACCGGCATGTGCCACCACAACTGGTTGTGTTGTGAATTCTATGTAGCTCTCTGGTTCTTATAGAACACCCTTTGTATCAGGAGCAATGTTGTGATTGCGGTTGAACCGAGACTGGGTGAAGACATTTGCATCCTAGCCTGCTGACTGACTCCTCAGTAAGTTCACGGTCACTCCCTGAAAGTGATCCATGGCATGAATATTGACTGCTACTTTTTTTTTTTAGTTTAAAGGATGACAGTGAAATGTTGAAGCTGTATGCCAGACTTCACTTGTCAGTGGCATGGGCAACGTCTTTGCTGATTCAGATGATACCCGTAGAATATATGGTCTGGGGCTGGGGAGGTGGCCCAGGCCGTCGAGCTTGCCTGGCAAAAACGAGGACCTAAGTTTGGATCCCTAGAACCCATATAAAAGCCATACCCAAAGGTACTTGTAATCCCAGTAGAGACAGTGGACACCTGGAATTTCTTGGCCGGCAAGCCTTGCTAGTTGGTGAGCTCCAGATTCAGTGAGTGAATATAGTCTCAAGGTAGAGAGTGACTGAGGAAAGACTTCCGACAGCCTCTAGTGTAGACACACACACATACACAAAATGGAAGATGCAGTCTCAGTTTCTTGGGCTGACCCGGAATATAATGGCTACAGACGTGCGCTTTTAAGTTTAGCCTGCTTTATTACTCTTTCTTCACCACTTAGTCAAAGAAAAAAGGAAGCCCAGTAACTTTTGTTGTGATGTAAAATAGTTCTAGCATGTCCAGTTCTAGCCCAGCATTGTCAGAGACATGACAGAAAGACCCTCCTTTGATAGTTGAAGCTAGTGAGGCTTCCTTTCATTAGTGCTCAGTTTTCTGTAGCCAGTATTTTTTAACTGAGCATGTCTTACTGTGGAGAATTTCCACTCTTCCTTTGGCAGGTATAAATTAGTATTTAATTTTCTCTCTGTGTGTGTGTGTGTGTGTTCATGTGTGAGTGCTGATACATGTGTGCCCTGTCACATCCGTGGAGGTCAGAGGATGACCAGTGTTAGTGTTCTGTCATTGCTGCGCCAGACTAGCTAGTCTGAATTTCTGGAAATTCCCGTCTCCTCCTCCTGTTCTCCCCATCAGGGTACTAGAATTACGAATGTGTACATTACTGGATCTGTTTCTATTGGGTGCAGAAGATCTGAACTCAGGTTGTCAGGCTTGCACGGCAAATGTTTATCCACTGGAACATCTCCTCAGACCTTGAGTTGTTGGTAGTTTAAATGTTTACAGGTCAGTAAATTTGGCCCCTTGTCGTTTGAAAAGAATAATATTCGGCCTAGGGTGTTACTCAGTGGTATAGAGCTTTTGAAGCATGTCTGAGACTTTGGGTTAGATCACTGGCACTGCAAAAAAGAGGAATAAAGCCTGTAATTAGTTAAATTTCTATAGATTAAAAATAAACCAGTATGATCCTTTTCAGCTATTCCAAGTAGCGTTCATTCATTTGACCTTATGCTAGACAGAATTAAAATGGTGTTCTTTAAATTGGGTTTGGTGTTATTGTAGTGCGCTCACCCAGATCTGGTCCATTTTGTTTTTTTACAGTTGCTAACTGGCCACTACAGAGACACACAGACTTCAATTACCGACAGTTCTGCTGCGTACAAAGTCAACAATAACAGGGTAAGGTGCCTGTGGACTGTTCTGGAATCTGACACTCTTCTTACTGTGAAGTCTTGTTTCATTTCCATTGCTGTGAGAAAATACTCTGAAAAAAGGAAACAGACAGGCAGTGGTAGTCTGGGCATTTCTTTAACCCTAGCACTCGGGAGGCAGAGGCAGGGTTAGTCTGGTCTACAAAGCAGATAGCAGATGCCAGGACAGCCAGGCCTGTTAAACAGAGAAACCATGTCTGGAAAAACCAAAAAAAAACAACAACAACAACAACAAAAAAACAGAGAAGAAGAGAAGAAAGAAAATATTCTGAGGAGAAGCAGCTTGGGAGGAAAGTATTTAATCTGATCCATTATTCAGGGAAATCAAGACTGGAGCTTGGAAGCAGGAGCCATGCAGAAATGCTGCTTGCTGGCCCGCTCTTTGGTTTACTTAGCTTGAGTTTTTCATGCCCCTGAACCACCTACCTCGAGATGGAACCTCCCACATCGGGCTGGGCCCTCTTACATCCAGTAGACACGACCTGCTGACATGCCCACAGGCCAGTCTGATGGGACTCTGTTGAGGCTTTTCTCAGGTGGCTGTGAGCTGTGTCCAGTTGACAGGAGTAGGATGTGGGCATTTGTAGCCTGCTTTTATGAAGAACATATTCTTGGTAGCAGATTTTATCATGTCTCTACTTGTAACATGTATAGGGTTCCGTCACAAAATTTTTTCTTCCTAGGTTCTGTCTGTTCAGGGTTATTGTGAGTTTCATCGGGTCTTTTTCTGTTACAAGAGCAGTACATAGTCAGAGCGTTGTTAGTATTTAATGTTACTACAATCTTTTGCTTTTACGAGCATGGTTGTGATGGCTACACACCATGCATTTCAAAAATATCCGTGAAGAATCAGAAGAATGACTGTCGCACACCTGTGCAGCTGGAGGGCGCAGATGGGAACTTTTGAGCTGGTTATAGTGCTAACAGCTTTGGTGGGTGGCGCCACCCCTCCGTGGCTGATGAGGGAGCGAAGGAAGGACGGATGGATAGGCAAATTAGAGTTGTGATTTTAGAGCCCCTGTTCCTCCCCTTTCTGGTGCTTTCAGAATTAAGCACTGTGCAAATAGGAGGGTCAGCCGTTTAGCTGTTTTTTTTTTTTTCTACAATGGTACTTCTCTGATCCAGAACTTTATTTTATTTTTTTCTTGTCTTTAAGACAAGGTCTCATTGTAAGAATTGCAGCTCAGATGGAAAGGTATCCTGGCAGTTAGGAGCCAAGGAATACCATAAAGTCACTGTAAGGTAGCAGCGTACAACCCTGCTCAGGGAAAGGTTCCTAACGCCAGTGCAACAGCTCTGCTCCAGCAAGGGGAGGGTTTCCCCAGTGAAGCTGTTCCAGCCCTGCTCTGCTGAGGACGGTGTCTCCTGCAAAAGTGTCACAGCTCTGTGTAAATTCCCCGGAGTGTAACAGCTCTGCTCTGCTAGGGGAAAGTTTCCCCAGCGACAGGGTTACAATTCTGCTCTGCTCTGACTTGCTCCAGTGAAAAAAGTCACAGTGCACAACAAACCTCACTTGGTGTTTGTTGGGAAGGAAGAATCCAGGGAGGTGGCGGCCCCTGGGGTGAGAAGCAGCAGCAAACTGAACAGGACACAGAGCTTGCATAGGGTTTCTTGGATGACTGAGGGAGTTCCAGGGTGGCTTGGGATTGGTGGATTTTTGTAGCCTGATTCTGGGGCTCAACAATGAAGAGCACTTGTTGCTCTTCCAAGGTATTGGAGTTTAGTTTCTAATACTCATATCCCACAGGTCACAACTATAACTTCAGCTTCAGAGAATCTAACACCCTTTTCTGATCCTCATGGTCATCCACATTTACATGTACACATATACACACACATAAATAAATCTGAAATAATACTTTATATTGGGTTAAATAATTTTAAATACTTTATTAAAATTGATAGACAATGTTCCTCAGGCACATGAGCCTGCACTGTGCTTCATTGAACATAAAGAACACTCATCCCTTTCCTGTCCCACTTCCCAGTGTTCTGTTCCAGTCTAAGCAGTAATGTGCCCAGTCGTGTCTTCTGGATCACTCACTAATGCTGTGTGTTTCAGTGCTAGTACTGCTTCAGAAACAGAGCGGTAGACCTCATCATGCGTTCTCCAGGCTCTCACCGCATAGAGCGGCAAAGTTGTTAGACATGTTGTCGGTGAAGGTTCGGGCAGAATGAATCCAGAGGGTTGTGCCCAGTCTGTATGTGGTACTGACTTCCTTCTGCAGACACCATCAGATGTACCAGAGCACACCTGATAGTTTTATCATTTATGTCTACAATAGCATGTTCCAAGGATGAGGTTGTAGGATGGTGACTAGCACCTCCTAGGGTGCTTAGTGAGTTTGCTAAGTAGGGGACCAGGAATTCAAACGAAATACTGACAGAATTGGAACAAATAAATGGTGAACCTAATGTACAAATATCTAAAACTCAAGAGTCAAAGTTGTGGATATTTCTTTAAGATTGAGAATCTCATTCATTGTAATACATGCTATAAATTGTATGTTTTTACTTTACATTGTTTGTGAATATTTACCAGTTTTCATATGAGTTTGCTTATACTTATATTAGTGTATTTCCTAAGCCTTGGATAATTTCTGCTTCAGTGATTCCTTCAGACAGTAAGGTGTCTTCATTGTCTTACGAACATTTATTAAACTGGGTGGTGGTGGTGAACATCATTAGTCCCAGCACTCAAGAGGCAGAGGCAGGCAGATCTCTCCAAGTTTGAGACCAGCCTGGTCTACAGAGTAAGTCCAGGACAGCAAGGGCTACAAAGTGAAGCCCTGTCTCAAAAGAACCAACCAAACAAACACTTATTTACATTGTAATTTTATACATCTTACATAATTTTACATTGCATTATTCATGTCATGTCAGGAACCATGCTAACTGTTTTGTTGCCAGAGCTTTTATTTAGTATGTGGGAGGGGAGGCAATAATATGGGGTGTGCAGGAATGTGTGCAGAGGTCAAGCTTGGGTGTGTTGTTCCTTAGGATGCCATACACATTGGCTTTTGAGACATGGTCTGTTCGCTGTCCTGGAACTCACAAAGTAGGCTAGGCTGGCTGATCAGAGAGCTTCAGGGATCTGCCTGTCTCTGCTTCCCCAGTGTTGGGGCAAAAAGTAATTCTACCACACTGGACCTTTTTTTTCTTAATGTAGGTTTTTGGAATAAAACTCAGATCGTTTTACCAACTGGCCTATCCCCAGCCCCTATTTTTTTATTTTTTTTCTTTCTGTGCCTCGTGCATACTCATCAAGCAGTCTTCACCAGTGTTGACGGTTAATGCTCCACAGACATCCATCTCACTCACTGTCTGCAGTCATCATCTGCTTGATTCATTAGCACAGCACCCGCGTGCTGCCTGTGATCTGATGGTGCAGATTTATCCTCTTGGAACAGAAGGCTGACCTAATCTCACTCTTGTTCTCAGGGGAATAGCCTGACTTTGATTGACCTCCCTGGGCACGAGAGCTTGAGGCTTCAGTTCTTAGATCGCTTTAAGTCTTCAGCCAGGTAAGTTAGGAAGTGGCATGGGTGTGTGTAAGTGTGGACCGTGTTGGCATCCACTCATGATGCTTCCTCTGTTAGGATTCTGATGCCATGGTGCCCTGGGGTGGAAAGATGATGCGTTTGGAGTATCCATTGGGGTGTTAGGATTGTGAAGACTGTAGGAGAGTTTCTTAGGGAGTGTTACTCTCGTTAACATGATTAAATTTCATGGTAACTCTGAAGATACTATTTTAAAAAATTGTTTTTAACCATATGCGTGTGAGGCCGGGTTATGTGCACTTGTGGGGAGGTATATGTGTAAGCCAGAGGAGGGTGTTAAATCTCCTGGAGCTGGGTTACAAGTGGTTGTGAACTTCCCAACATGGGTGCTAGGAACTGAACTATGCAAGAGCAGAACACACTCGGAACTGTTGGGCCATCTCTCCATCCCCTAACGCTAAAGATAGACTTAATGATATATTAGAGCTGTTAGAGTTTGGAAAAGGAATTTTCTTTGTGTTTTGATTTTGGAGACAGGGTTTCTCTGTATAGCCCTGGCTGTCCAGGAACTTGCTCTGTAGACCAGGCTGGCATCAGACTGAGAGATCCACCTGCTCTGCCTTGCTGGGATTAAAAGCTTGTACCACTACACCAACTCTCATAAATTCTTAGGCATGTTCTGCACATAATGCAGTGGCTGTTAGCTGGGTATCTTTGGGTATAACTGCTAATTATTTGCATGAATGGCACACAGCTGGTATCGTCAGAAGGGCCAGCCAGAGAGGGCTGGCTTGGCTCCTGTAAAGCACCAGTAGCTGTATTCCGTAAGTGTGGATCTGTCTTAAAGTCCTAGGTGATTTCCACACTAGATGCTGACTGGCAGTCTGTGGCTCAGAGCTCAGTAGAGTGTCACACAGTGCCAGGCTTGGGGTGATGAGGCTTCCACACCCCTACAGTAGCAGCATGCTCTTACAACAGCTTTGTAGCCTGGTTTGTTTGCTGGTTGTTTTCCCACTAGTGGGTTTGGAGCAGTCCACTTTGTAGGAGGCATGGTATAGAAGCCGTCCTTATCATCCCCCTTGTATAACCCGCCAAATGCTAGAGGCAGCATGGCAGCCCAGCAAGTCTGCTCTTCAGTTACATTAAATCAATGCCTCAAGAGCTATTTTTAGTGTAAATCCTCCTGACAATTGATTCTTAAGTTCTTTCCTAAAATCCGAACGCTCTAGTTTTAAAGGCTTTCTTCATGTTTGCTATCTAACACTGATTAAGAACTGAAGAGGTAAATTTATATGATACATTTCAATGATGTGAAGGCATATTTTAATAACTAGATTTGGAAAGCATTTTGGAAATGATGTTGTGATAGTTTAATTGGCAGTATTGTACCTGAGGTATTCATGTTTTTGATTGATGGTATCTTAGCTTCCTTTTTGTTGAGCATTCTAGACTTAGATTTTGTCATTGCTTCTTGCCACAAAAAGATGGTGATGAGCAATTTGTCATGGATGAGAATGCAATTTTTATTCCTCAGACAATTAAGACATACCTAGAACTGCTAAATTTGGCCATAATAGGGTGTTCTTTTAGTACTTAGCAGACTGAGGCAGGGGGATGGCAAGTTTGAGACCTGCCTAAGCAATATAGTGAAACTGTCTCGAAACCAGTTTTTTTCTGTTACTAATTGCAAATAATTTACAGTTTGTAGTATAATTATACTCTGTTATCCAAGTATTTTGAATAAATAGAATATGTATCATATAAAGATAAAACTAAGTTCACGGAAACTTCAGTTATAATATAAGGGAATTGAAAATACTATGATCTGTGACTTTTTTAAGATTTTTTTTTTTAATTTGTGTGCATGCGCCTGTGTGTATGTTTGTACATCATATATGTGCATGTTCCTGAAGGACCAGAACATGGTGCTGGATCTCCTGAACCAAGTTACAAGCAGTTGTGAACTGCTGGATGTGGGCACTGGGAACCTAACCTTTGTCCTCTGCTAGAGTGGCAAGTCCTCTTATCTTGGAGCCATCTCTTGCGCCCCATGGGCCGTTTTTTAAAAATTCTGCTTCTGGCTTAAGATTCTTTTCCCATCACTGATTTTAAAGTATATTATTTTTTACTCTTTCTTGGATTCCTGCCCTTTTTTAAACAATAAGTAACAGCATCCAATACACACTCATTTCCTTTTAGTGAACTGTAAGCCCCCGTGTTTTGATCTTCATCAGACCATCTGTTATTTGGGGGATGTGCCTCTGTAACTGCCAGTGCTGGCTACTTTTCTTCTATCCAGTGGGTACTTAAAGTAAACCTGCTGTTTTCTTTGCTCTGCCAAATTCTTCTGCTTCCTTTCAGGTTCTGTTTTTCTCAGTGTCATTTTCCTACGGGACATCTGTCTTTGGCTTCGTGGTATTTGGGATTCAAGTGTACCACCCTACACCGAAGGACACTATCCTGTTCCAGTGCAGTGGCTGACAGCCCCGCAGCTGGACCAGCCACACTGAACAAAGCCTCCCACTCAAAAGCAGTTTAAGAAACTGAAACAGCTGGCTTCCTGCCTCACACTGCAGGGCACAAGTGAACCCTGCAGGCATAAGACCCCAGTGGAAGATTAGCATGAAACTTGGGCCGGTTCATCAAACCCTGTGATGCCGACAGATGGCACTGTCTGCTCTTTCTCACTTGTCACAGCGTGGGACTCTGCTGACATTTTTGATCTTCTCTCTGCTGTCTCTATGCTAGTTTATCTAAGAAATCCTTTTCCCTTGAGTGTTGTGTGAGCCCTCAGCTCTGCTGTCTAGTTTGCTGTGTTCTTTTCAGCTAAGTTATATCTGCTTAGGTTTCCACTGAGTTGCTAATTTCATATGCTATTTTTATGATGTAGTCTTTAAAATACCCTTTAAAAGTACACCTGCTTCTTTTTATTGTTTCTAGTATTATCCTCTAAATTTTTTTTTTTTTGAGGCAGGGTCTCATGTAGCTCAAACTGGCCTTGAACTCATATTTAGCCAAAGACGACCTTGAGTTTATGATCTATTGCCTCTACCTCCTTGGTGCTAGGGTTGCAGGAATGCGCTTTGTCTGGTTTTATGCTGGCTGGAATGGATCCGAGACTTTGTGCCTGCAGTGCAAGCATTCTAGCCTCCATGAATATGTGCTTAGGTCAGTCTAAGCTCCAGTTTGGGGGTTCTGGATATTCTGTGTTGGAACTGCATGTTTTCTTCTGTTTGATCCAGAACCCCTCCTTCAAGGGAATGGGTGTCACTGATGAGGTTGACAGTCTTTGCTACTTTAGGATGCGAAGGGTAGACTCCAGAGTTATTTCCATCTGTTGGTATCATGGGGGTTGATGAATCTGGCCCGGTTTTTATGTAACCTTCGCTTAGGGTCTTAGTGCAGGGAGAGCGTCAACTTGTGCATGGCGACTGTGAGGCGTTGGAGACAGGTGTAGTAGTTCTTGGGAAATTTTCTAATCACAGCCTCCATTAGCCTGCCTTTGAGCTGGAGGCTTTGTGCAGGGTGTTTGGTGTGGCTGCCCAGGGCCTCTTAGCCGCTGTGTACCCCTCTTTACTTAGGCCTTCACGTTCCTGACCCCTGTTGTCTGTAGTTCCAATGGCTTCATTTCTGGTATTGTTATTGCTGTTGCCTGAGGTTAGCCCCATGTACTCATAATTCTTGAGTTACCCTAAGAGTTCTCTGTCTTCACTTAGGACAGGAAAACAAACTGTACAGGTCAGTGTGTCATCTCGGACCCAGCTTTCCACAGCTCACCCTCCGCACGTACTCTTTCCAGGTGTGCTTTTTATCTGTGCGGTCAGCACACTCCTTTCGCCCAGCCGTCTGTACCATGTGTTGTTGGCTCAGCTTTACATTGTCCTGTAGTCTTGTTCACATGTCTTCCTCTTTGTTCTTACTCCGTTGTGGACGATAGGATGGTTTCCTGGCCTTGAGCAGACACCATTTCTTGTGTCCTTTTAGTTTCTTAACAGCTTTATGATTATGATTATTATTATTGCTAATATTATGTCAAGGTGTGTGTGTGTGCTTGTGTGTGTATGACAGTGGGCTGAGTCTAGAGAGATCAGGGGTCCTGTCCTGTGGCTCCCGCTTACTGTGTACTCATGTGCCTCTTCCCTTTCACTCACTGCAGGGCTGTGGTGTTCGTGGTGGACAGTGCAGCATTCCAGCGGGAGGTGAAAGACGTGGCCGAGTTTCTGTATCAGGTCCTCCTCGACAGCATGGGACTGAAGAATGCACCATTCTTCCTAATAGCCTGCAATAAGCAAGGTGCTTCCTGGCAACGGCAGTGGGTTGGTCTAGGATTGCTACTGAGAATTAGTTCATTTACCTGCAGTTGTTACTGTCGAGCATGGGGCACAGGGGTGTTCACAAATTAAGGGATTAAATCTTCATCTATTACTATTTCCCAGTCTTTTTACCAGGCTGCCTTAAGGACTGGCAACCAAGTGTTGTTATACCCTTTTTCATAATACAGTGCTTTTTATTTTGAAGATCCTAAATTATTTTACTTTACCAAATGTTAGTTTGTGAGGTTGCATACTGTCACTTCTGGAGATTTTGGGGGGGTCTCTGTAAAATAGCTTTACCACTGAGCAGGTTTCACCAGAGGAGGCTGCATCCCCTTTGGGGCTCACACTCGGGTCAGCGGGCTTCAGTTCTGGGCCCAGTTCAAGTAAACCCAGGATAGTTGGTCTTCAGAGCTCTCTCATATCTGCATTTCCTAGGAGTCTGGAGCATTTTTCAGAAGTGATTTTTTAAAAAAAATCTTAATAATACCTGCTGCGGGTATCATTTTAAAGTTATTTTCAGGGACAGGAGAGATAGTTCAGAGGTTAAGAGCAATGGCTGCCTCTCCAGAGTCGTGAGTTTAATTCCAGCAACCACACGGTGACTCACAACCATCTATAATGAGATATGGTGCCCTCTTCTAGTGTGTAGGCATGTTTACAGGCAGAACACTATACATAATAAATCTTTTAAAAAGTAAAAGAAGATATTAAAAATAATTTTTATGTGTATGGGTGTTTTGCCTACATGTATGTCTGTGAACAGTATTCATACCGGGCTTTGGATCTGCGGGACTGGAGTTACAGACAGTTGTGAGCTGCCGTGTGGGTGCTGGGAATCGAAACTAGATCCTTTGAAAGAGCAGCCAGTTCTCTTGGCGCTGAGCTACCTCTTCAGGCCCAGCTCTTACCTTTCTCTGTTTTGTATAAGAAGGGCATTCAGTACCTATTGGCTTGGGCTTTGTGCCCTCCTGGGCTTGTTTCCAACCTACAGCGTACTTCATGCTTGCCACAGCTTCCAAAACTTGGCTGGTTGTATGAGGTTCTTTTTAAACGGTAAATAAGGCGTTGTGTGTTAAAGGTTCTCATCAAATGTCAGTCACAGTGCTGGTGGACAGGTGTGAGCTCGAAAGGCTTGTACGCTGTGGAAAGCTCAAGCTTACTTAGCTTTACTCTCATTAGCACTAGAACAATTTATCTCATTGCATTTAATGTTTTAAAACATTTTTCAAAAAACTACAAATACAGCATTTACTTTGACAGAGAAAGAAATAGCATAACAAAAAATGATTTAATGGGGCTGGAGAGATGGTATAGCGATTAAAAGCGCTGTCTGCTCTTCCAGAGGACCTGGGTTCAATTCTTAGCTCCCACATGGCAGCTCACAACTGTCTGTAACTCCAGTTTTCTGGGATCTGACCCCTTCACACCAATGCACATAAAATAAAATTAAAATAAATTAAAAAGATGATTTAACAAAGGAATGGGAGATAATCTTGGACTAAATAGGAATTTTCTTTCTGTGGTAGGAATCCAGGGCAAAGACATATTTTGGTTTAATCTAGAACAATGCTCTTATTTTCCCCCCAGATATCGCAATGGCAAAATCCGCGAAGTTAATTCAGCAGCAGCTTGAAAAGGAACTGTAAGTGTGCACACGCTGCTGGCAAATGTCCTGGCGCCCAAGCGTCCTCTGGTTGTGTACGGTTATCAGAATTATAGTCAAGATTAGTATGGAATGTATGTGTTAAATAATTTATGAAAGAATTAGTGGAATTCTAAAAAACTAATGATGCTTATAGCTGTTTTAAGATTCCATGGCTTACTTTTGTTCTTTTATAGCTGGAAGGTTTGAGAGACTTAAGACACTAGGTTTAAAATAATTTTATTTCAGTGAATGAAGGTATTTGTTTACATAGTAAGGCATGTAAAACAGTGTTAAAAGGTACAAATAATATGTAAAATAGTTACATTAAGTAAAAACTGAGGGTCAGGGGAAAAGGGAAGTAAAAAAATTAAAAGCGATTGGAAGCTGGGTGTGGTCCCACAAACCTATAGTCCCAGGACTCTGGAAGCAGGGAAACCAAGTGTCCCAGGCCTAACTGGCCTATATAGTGAGAGCCTGTTCCAGAAAATAAAATTTAAAAATTAGGCCTGGCGCTGGTGGTGTATACCTTTAATACCAGCACTCGGAAGGCGGAGACAATGGCCAGATCTTTGTGAGTTCGAGGTCAGCCTGGACTTCAGAGTGAGTTCCAGGACAGACTCCAAAGCTACAGAGAAACTGTCTCAAAAAAATAAAAAATAAAAAATTGTAGCCACTGGAAATTATTTTTGACAGAACAAGAACACTTAGGAAGAATATAAAAATCTATGTTACTGTCTTGTAATTTCTTACATTGTTTTCAGGCTATTGACAATATTATTTACCTTAGTGTCGAAAAGCTTGTAAGTTGAGTGAGATAAACTGTTAGCATTAAGGAATCTAGCAGGCTTCCGTGCAGTTCCTATTTCTAGGAACTAAAAAGCTATTTTGCAGAAGAAAAGACAGAAAACCCATTTACATTTTCTGACTGACTGCTTTTGTAAGAGTAAGGCCTGTTTTTTTCAGACAGGGTCTTAGTAGCCTTCACTGTCCTGGAACTCACTCTGTAGCCCAGGCTGGCCTCGTACTCACAGAGATCGCCTGCCTCTGCCTTCCAAGTGCTGCAATTAAAGGCATGCACCACCATGCCCAGCTTGCTATTTTAGTTGGATCTAGTATTTATAAATATTAGTCCCTGGCAGGAAGTCAGTCAGCATTTGCCTGTGTGCTCTCTAACAGGATGAGCAGCTGGCTGTAAAGTGGCTTAATTTGGGAAGGTTTTTCTATTTAGGATGGATGAGACTGAAGTCTGCGTATGTATGAACTTTATATCCAAGAAGATTCACGATAAAAAGCTCCCTATCTCCCCGTGCTGAAGTTTCCAAACCTTGAGTTTTTATAAAACAGCATGCATTTAAAACTGTATTTTCTATGGTGTCATTCAGATCTTAGAAGTGGAATTAGGCTTAAAAGAGCTGGTGGCACCTGGGTCTCCTAACCCCCTGACATCTGGCTAATAGACAGGTTGGACCCATCTGACCTGTTTATCTGAAACAGTGGTTCATGGATATAAAGGATAAGTCAGCAGTGTTAATAATAGCAAATTGGCGGTTAGCCTGTCAGTCTTTAATGGGCACTGATGATTGCCTCTGACTTGTCCCTTTGCCCACAGCAACACCTTACGAGTCACCCGCTCTGCTGCTCCCAGCACACTGGACAGTTCCAGTACTGCACCTGTTCAGCTGGGAAAGAAAGGCAAAGAATTTGAATTCTCCCAGTTGCCCCTCAAGGTGGAGTTCCTGGAGTGTAGCGCCAAGGGTGGACGAGGGGATGCCGACACTGCCGACATCCAGGACTTGGAGAAGTGGCTGGCCAAGATCGCCTGAGGGGCAGCCCTGGCTGCAAACCTTTTGCATCTGTGACTGATGAGCAGTTTGGGAAAGGGCTGTGGTGGTGTGGAGCCGATAGAGGGAACATGGCATGTGTCAGCATCTCCGTGTTCTAGAAACAGTTACTGCAGCTTGAAAGCATTGTCCCTCCCTTCTAGCTCCTTTCTCAACCAGTCCTTTTTATTTAATTCTCCTGTTCTCCCTCTTGGTAGGTGTAGCATTACTTTAGTGTGTGACATAGCAGAGAGGGCATTACCATGAGAAAAGGTGCATCTGGGAAGTTCTTGTCCTCTGTCTCTCTGCTTCCCTCCCTTTTCCTGGAGCCAGTTAATTTCCAGTTGCCCCTCGTATTTTGGCATAACTAATTTGGCATTGTTAGTTCTTAGTGAAGTCTCAGATATAAAGGTAGTTACAACGAAGACAGGTTCAGAACCACAGGGCACCGCTGACAGTGACCTGTCTCCATTCCAGCTTAGGTTCAGAAGCCTGCCGGGAACCTCTAGTCACTCTCACGTGACGGATGTAAGAGCCAGCTCCCCAGACACTCATGGTTTAGTGTGCTCCAGAGCTTCCCCTGGGGAGACAGTGCACTGCTGCCTCTGGGGGCTTGTGAGGCCCCAGGCCGTCTGCCTGTGCTACTCGGTCAGCTCCCATTGTGTCTCCTCAGCTCAGATGCTGTGGAACAGCACAAATTGGAAAAGTCCACTGTATATATATTTTTAAGTGAATTCATTCATGCTTTAAAAAAAAAGTTGCCTTTTCAAAGTAATGCTGTCTTAAACATTTGTGTTTTTATTGCTTTTACAAATGACTGGTAAATTGATAAATAACTGTCTATCTGAAAGCATTAAGTTGGATGAGCGAGTATAGCTGGGAAGCTGAACTAGGATTCAAGCTCAACTCTAGGTTACCCGAGCCTCATCTCTCACACTCAGACAGGCCTCATTAGAGAGACCCTGTAGGAGAGCCATGACTCAAGGTGTGGTGCTTGGGAACACGTACAGGAGTGTCTGGGCTGGCCTTGGGGACCAGTGGGAGTCAGGATAAACACACGATGTGTTCCCTGTGCAGTCCAGCCCAAGCCTCTGCTGCACCACATGGCATCCCTGTGGGGCCCAGATCGCTGCTATTCCTAGCAGGTACTCAGGGCTCCCCACCCTAAAGCATTTTTTTTCTGGTGTATGAGATACACAAAATGGTAAGTAGAGAGATGACCCTGTCAGTTCTTACTAGAAAGCAGTGAGTTGCTGGGATTCTCATTGCTCTCTGGACTGTGCTGCTGATGTTGGTGAGAAGGGCATGGATGACTGACACTGCAGTAGGTGTTCAGGGAAAGAAAGGTAGATGTTTAGTTAAAGAATATGTGTTTGCTGGGCAATGGTGGCACACGCCTTTAATCCCAACACTCAGGGAGGCAGACGCAGGCAAATCTCCATGAGTTCTAGACCAGCCTAGTCTACAGTGTGAGTTTCAGGACAGCTGGAAATATACACAGAAACACTGTCTCAAAAAAAACAAAACAAAACAAAAACCCCTGTGTTCTTGGACACTACTCCCTTTTTCTGGATAATAAAGTGATTTTATTTACTGGGAGAATCGGCACGTCAGAAAAGTGATGAGGTTGGAGAGCAAAGAAAGTTTTATTCATAGCCCGAAGATGCTCTTAAACAAAAGGTTAAGTTGGGCAGGGCTGGAAACTAGGTTGGTAGAGTGCTTGCCTGGTGCTGGAAAGCCCAGTTGTAAAGGGGCAGCTGCACTGAGGAAGGCCTGAAGGATTCCACTTCTGGAGTCTCAGCATGGCCAGACTTCATTCTGGTTTTTCAAACTAGCTGACACTACCAGGTGCCTCAGTTTCTGGAAGGGCCTCAGCTCTTAATGAACAACAGCTGGAGAACCCCTGCCACTGCTCCCCAAGGCCTCTACACCTCCTGACATGAGGTCTTCTGACATCATTTCACCCAGAATGTAACCTTAATCAGCACCCCTAGGTCCCATCCTACAGAAGCACCTAGCCATGTTCTGTTGACCTTAAAAAATACGTGTTTTGTACACAACATACGTATATATACAGATATGTTATATAACATAGCCAAGAGTACAAGGTTTCCCTGATATATATAAAATTTGGGTTTAGCAAACAGTGGTCACTCTTGCAGTGACGAGGAGAGTCACCCAATAGCCCTGCCCTTGCCACACTGCACTTCAAACAGGACAATCCCAACGTCATCTTGCGCACACCTGGAGTACCTCCTCAGCCTCGAGACAGTGGGGCATAACTGCTAATATGTAGAGAGCAAGCATGCCCTCTGTGTGAAGACCCGTGGCTGGACACTACTGTGTTGGAGGGCTGCTGTTCTCGCTTCATCTGGCATGTACTCATATTCTCGGGCTCTCAGCCCTCCCCCCTTCCCCATCTCCTGTGTCTGCCCACCTTACCGCTAGATTCCAATCTAAGGCAGTGGGCAGGGACTTTTGTATCCTCTTCCTGCTAATCAGTAGTGGCCTTGAGGTGACAAATTGGAGTGTTCCAGAACTTTTAGGACCTTTCAATGGGAAAGGTCACTGGTGAACTTAAACTTAGCATTCTCAGGAATTGTTCCCAGAACCCAGATATGGTAGGGGTAGTGGAGACCCGAGGGGCCTCTCAGAGACTGTCCCCAACTGGTGTGGGAGAAGCTGGGGGTGGTGATGGTTGATGTAATCTAAAAGGGGATCATGATAACCCTTAAGTTTTTGCCTTTAAATGACAGGCAGTCGTCAAAAGGGTAAAAAACTTAGTCCCTGCACTCTGCCTCCTTAACCCATAGCCCTGTTGAGTAGAGTGTAGAGGTGATAAATACACTCCCGAGTCCTGGTTCCTCCTGGAGTCTCCCTGACCATTTACTGTTAGGATCTAACAGACAGATGAGGCTGTGCATACAATCTCACTAGCCCACAGTTTTCTTTTAGAATCAGGGGAGAGCCCAGGTGAGCAGAGACAAGAGGCAAAAGGCCCTGCATTGGGGACATGCCACCCAAACATGAGAGGGCCTTTGAAGAAATCCACTTTTAAGCCCCCTATATATAAAACCGTACCACTTAGACACAGTCGACAAGCTTTGTGTTGAGAATCAGGACAGTTTATTGTTTGACCAACATGCTGAGTCTTTTCCACATATTACACAGTTGAATGTAAAGTCAATATGGCCGCTTTGCCTTCTGAGCCCATTACAGATGGAAATGCCACCCTCTGTGTTCCTCTTTAAAGAACAGGTGAGGTGCGAAGTCAACACACAATAGGCAGGCTGGCCTTCGTTGCTATGGAGGCTTCTTGTCTCCTGAAGAGACCATCTGAACTCCCGCTGCAAGGTTTTCCTGATAACATACCCTGCAGAGTGCCAATCAGACAGGGTCTGGAGTCCAAGGAGTTTGCACACTGAAACTGCAAGATTTTGAAATACCGAAGAAGTTGATTTCAAACAAAAATTAAAAGGGTGCCCTGACTACTGCTCCGTGTGTGGTTTAGACAATGCAAGTAGATTTGGGGACCACCCATTACAGCGAAGGAGCCCAAACTGCACCTATATTCTCACTAGCTACTAAGGCTGGAAATAACCGTATGTTCTAGCCATGGTGTGGAGATGGCTCAAGGGACACAAGCACAGGATGCAGTCGTGTCCGTACCCCCAGGTCAGCAATGGGTGGAGGATGCCAACACTGGCTCTGATCGTTCCTGGCTTGTAGGGGACCTTGTCTGTTCTGGTTCCCCCACCTGTGAAACAGGAAGGGTTTGGCTCCCGGTGCTGCAGCAGGATGACAGTGCCTCCCACTCTTGGGGAGAGGTAGTCTGGGAACTAGTGAGCATTGAGCCCTGAGCATTTGACACACTCAGACACGCTCCTGCCTACTGGCTCTCGTAGCTCTGACTCACTACTTTCACCTACACTCCCCTCTTCCCAACAGCCTCTCCCTCTTTCATATGGCGAAGGAATTAACTGCTGTACCTGCAGGATGCTGACACCAGCAGTGCTGTCCCCATATGTCAAACTGGATACTGGAGGCCAGGCATTGGGTAGAGCTCTGTACCCAGCTGTCTACACTCCAAGCTACCACCCTGCAGCCCTTATCTCTGCCGCTTGACGTTTAACTGATGTGACCATGGCTTCATCTCCCATCTTGGGATATTGCGGAAATGTTTTAAGGATGGCGACCCGAAGGGAGCAGTGGCTGGTGACAGCAGTCAGGCCCTGACCACCAAACATTCTAACCTCTGACCTCACAGCAAGACTAGCACTCAGGACACTCACATCACACCTTCATTTTGGTGTGCATGTGGGCACAGCTAAGCCGCCTGCCTTTCCAATCTTAGACTATTCCTGCAATGCTCACAGAAGTTTTGCTGACAATCTCCTTCAAGACTCCTAAAGAAAAGAAAGAGGGTCATGCCCATCTGCCAGACCAGGCTCAAATGTCCAGGGAAAGGAACTGAATTACTAAGTTGAGATCTTGTCCTAAGAGAATCCTTCATTCTGTCTTCTGACTGATATGAATTCAGCAAAGATGGGGACACTGAGATAATTTCAGGACATCTTCAAGCGAACCTGACCAGACCTGCCGACAAGGAGGGTGGTGGGCGTGAAGGAGAAATCAGTCCCAGGTACAACAGAATTGGTTCTGTGTGGGGCCTGGCTGCCTTAATGGCCGTCAGAGAAGGAGATGGGCAGAGGAAAAGGCCAGGGCACCGCTGGGGTGGGAGAGCAATGGGCAGTACCCTCATTTTCAGAGGCAACGAGACTGGGCGATCCTAAACTCAAGAGGGGGCTTTGTGGACAAGCTAGGAAGGCAGGACTCCTTAGGTCAGATCAACCAGGATGGCATCCACCATGGCTCCTACTGTTTCTAAAGCATGCCATGATGCCTTAGATTGTGTGCACAAGAGGAGGGAACAGATCTGCTACTTCGAGTTATAGAAATACAGGAAAGGTTATTCTTTAGTGCCAAGAAGATTAAAATTCACCCTACATTCATTCCTTGAGACACAGGATAAAGCCCTGTCTGTGGGGCTCTGCCAGAGGCTGCCAGCGAAGCCCCTCCCTGCCAACCAGACGGCTGTCAGCACAGGGCAAGTGTGCCTTCTTCCAACAAGCACCACTTAGGTGGGGTGCCCACGGTGGGGGGACACTGGCCCACAAAGGCATACACACCTGTGCACACAGGTACAGAAAGCAGTGGTGAAGGTAGTTCTGTGGACGAGTTTTGATTGTAGCTTAACACATCTATGCACTATTTTATTGAAGGCAAGACAACCACAAGTTATTGGACAATATTTTGAGTATTTCTTATTTCAATACACTGCATACTTTTGAACTTCCAAAACTGGAATCACAATGCAAGTTCCAACTTGAGACTGGGAGCAACAGGAATATACATTGAGCACATGTATACGTGAGGATGTGTGTGTGTGGGTGTATACACAAGTCTATCTCTATGTATAATTATGTACACACATAAAAAAGCTAAACACATGATGTTTCAATTACGCTTGTACATTGGTCCTTGCCTTCTGGAAGAGGTACCCAGGAGAATCCTGCTTCCTCTCTTCTTCACCAGAATGGGCACTGACACTGTCTCCCAGGATGGAGAAGCATGGCGGCCCCACTCACAAAATCAGACCCACCATGCAGGCTGCCATTCTGAACTCATTTCTGAGAAGTTCCATAATTCATTCCAACCCTCTGTGGTGGCATTTACCCTGCGCATCAGCGGTCTGGAGACGGGCCAATGCTATAG